TAACTGAACTAAGATAAAAAAACATTTATCTTTTTGTAAAAAAAAAAAAATTATATACGTTTTCTGACGTGGGTATTTTAGCAACATCTTGTTGAATGCTGAATTCCAACATTATGAAAAAACTTCAACGTTCATTTTAATTAAATGTAATTAATGAAGGAGGGGCCTTCAGGTTTTTGAAGTCAAACGTGTAGATATAGAAAAAAAGGCATTTTTATAGATGATTGTCGAATATTTTTTATGAAATATTTTTATCAGCTACTCTAATTACCTATGTAAATGCTATTTAATAAGTGTTGTGTTTTGTCATTACTCAGTGAAACACTGAGTGACAATCTTCATCGCGAAAAAACCGATTATGTATGTAAATTGCTACAAGAAAAGGTGCACAAAAAATTATTGTATTTCAATATTTAAAGTATATTATAGTTTTCATGATTTTAATTAGTATGAAGTTTCAATTGGGGCAGACACAGTTTTGTGTATGCGATTATTTTTATTTAATTAAGTAGTATGTATAAGTAGCCTGACTGATGTTTTTATTCCACGCGAGCAAGTGAAATAGAAAGGAAAAATCCAAGGAATCCGAGGAAATCACTGCACATCGTGATTATTTAAATAATACTTTTAGATCACGTCGAATAAATTTAATTTAATTAATTACTAAAATCATTCTAGAAAGAATAAATTTAATTTAAAATATTTAACAAATAAATTGAATCCCTGTGCTACCTGCACACACAAAACTGTTAATATCATTTCAAGAAAAAAATTAAGGTAGTTTTGGTAGGTGTTTGTCTATAAATTACCTTTATTGATAAAATATTCTTGTGGTGTGTAATACAGTGTTTAGCTATATGTTATAAAACTATAAAGAAATATATAAAGTCTATATTCTCTGGCCGTTGGTTACAAACAAATTATTGTTCAGAAAAAACAATACATAGTTATAAAATCTATTAGACAATTATATTCTACATATTCGTCTAAAGATCGTAAGGATATGGAGCAGAGAAATAATTAAAAAGTCGTATGTGATAAGGTACGTACATTTATGTTATTATGGAATCACGAATTTACAAAAAACACTAACCTCAAATTTTAATTATCCAAGTGTAAAAGTTCGTTAACAATACGCACATCGATTTCAGTTCCAATATCACAAACACAAGCGGCGCTTGCGCAGTCACCGCATTCACTGACTGCTGACTGACTGCTAAGGTAACAGACGACTGGGGTATTTTTTTATTTTCACCGACCTTCTTTATGATTACGTTAATTAATGTTTTAGTAATTATATAAAAATACTGGACTGTTATCAAAGAGGCCTTAATGGTTGATTACCTGCTGGTGCCAGAGACTTAGTAAGTAATGGAGCCTTTTTCCTTGACAATGTTTTACGTCCCAACATTCGATTTCGATATAACAGGCTAAATGTGAGATAAATTCATGGCCTTATGACGCGGACCACAATTAAAAAATGCAAAATATTGCTATATATGTTTTTATGGATGATGAGACGTCATTAAAGGCCGTAGGAAATTATTTATAAGTAGAATCCGATGATGTATATCAGAAAATGTCAACGTAAACTTCAGCATCATTTGTATTATTGTGAAGTTGTTGAAGGAAATAATCTATCATTAATTTCTTAATACTATTATGTATCACTATTAGAGCTAGTGATGATACTGTATAAAAGTCGCATAGGAAGTGGCGATGCAGAACAAATAAATGTCACCACCCAAGGTAGAAATATGGTCTGTTATATATCTAAATCAGAAATCTTTCTATGTGGAAGAGGAGAGTTGTCCTTCTAGCAGCTCCTCAGCCCCGGAGCGGAAGCAGCCATCGATTAGGCAGGCTTCCACTATTAAAAAAAAAGGGTCCGTGTACTTATGTACGCGCGTAAGAAGTTATACTTCTTTGGCAATATTAAAAATAGTTTGGCTTTGTTCCACCTCCAGTTTTTGATGTTTCACAGCGATAAGATGAAAACTCTTTTTGTGTATTCAATTTAGTGCAGTTACACTGATTCATCAATTGTTTTTGTCTCTTTTCCTTATATTTGTAGATAAAATCAGAAAAATTAATGTTTTGATTAAACAATGTTTAATTTTTTAATCAAAACATTACTCGATAATAATAATAATACATACGGATATTAACCTCAATTGTATTGAAGCACTTAGAAGTTATACAAGTTTTTTCACAAATATTAATTAGTATTGGTTTAAATATTCAATTTAAATCACTTCTGATTATAATTCAAAAAGCATCGCTAAATTTCTTTGAAAAAAATAATTAAAACTCCTTTATTTGTTTAAAAGGTAAATGACAAATGTCATTTATGTCATTCAAAATTGTTGGCATACGAACTTACCATATTCTATTTCTTTACTTGTAGATTGTTTATTCCTATCTCGCTCGCGCACGCTATAATCACACTCCTAATTTTGTGTCACGGTGCGATCATAACGCCCTAAAAAGTATAACTTCACAAAATATTCATATTAACTTACTTATAATGCTTACTTGAATTTAAAAAGTATAGTTATAAGCAAATTAGGTCTATAATAAGTAATTCAAAAGTTCATTAGTTATATTTGTAACAGGATTAATTGCTATTTTTGTACACAAGGCGCGCCAAATATCTTATTTCAATAGTTTAACATAATGAATAACATGAAGGACTAACATTAATTTAACAACGTCTTACTATGAAAGCACAGTGTACAATCCTAATTATGCCCAATTATATATTATCATTAGGTTTTAATGACAAATTTATATAGGTACATTATAAATTATAGTGAATATTACTAACTATATTATACTTACTATATACAATCAGAACATTGTGTATTCTCTGTATATAATGTTAACTACGCTATCGATAAATGACCGTAGGCTCACGAAAGTTGGTACATTAAAATTTTCGCATTTACTTGATTGACAAAGAAATGTAAACAATTACTTCCATACAATTAATTGGTAACGTGTCCTCTCACTATCATTAAAAACATAATTCTCAGCCAAGTGTGGTACTTACGACAAAGATAATACGCTAATTCTAATCAGATACTTATCAGTTGATAAGACGAAGCATACCATCAGTGACTCTCACACCGTACTCCCGAACGCCTTGTCTGGTTTCTGTATACCTACTCCGCTATATTATATACTGCATTACCTGTGTTTGTAATGGAAAAGTGATTAACAGTGTTCATGCATATAATGAGTTTCTAGTACAAGTGAAATAATAACGTATTATGTAAGTAAAAAGCAAAAACCAAATCGGCAAACTATCGGTGCCTCATCATTTTTGTATTCTTTCGTCGTAAAGATTACGTTGGGGCAGCTTCCACTTCTTATCTTTAAACTACTTTCAATCAAACCGGTATAGAAAATGCAATAAAACTGACTAAACTGAACGCAAATGACGATGAAAGATGTCACTTTATGAAGTAGCTACCTATTTGGACGTCATTAGGTGAATCATTATTAATTTTTGTATGAATGTTTGGTAGTTTGGAGGTTTCTCCTCGAAAAGTATTGTAGTTTTTTTGTTATTTTCAGTTGCGTTAATGTGTTTCGGTTACAGTTGTACCTACTCAAGGTTGTTAATACTTAGGTCATTTAATAAACATTTAAATACTTAATTTAATACTTCAATCTTTAATTCAACATAGATTATCAGCTGGTATTCTGTAAGCTCTATTCTTCAATAGTTAACTAATCCGATATCATAATTTCGAGCTTAGCTACTAATCTTCTCTTTATAATCTATTATTAATAACAATTGAACAGATCTGATCAGAAAGACTGACTACGGCTTTTAGTGTGCTAAACAAAGACTCTTCAATTCTTAGTCGTATATTCATTTTAAAGAACGTATAGTACTTAGGTGAATTTTGGCAAAGTATGTAAATACATTCAGGTGCGAGACACGGCAAGAATCTCGCAAACCAAAGATCTCCCGATTATTTTTTTATCTTATCAAAGCGTTATCACACTTCTGAGTAGGAGCCGCGTGCTTCATTGTTTTAACCTCTTTACTGACTTCACTATTAACTATGTATTTTATTTAGTAGTATTTTTCTAACCTTGTTAAAGTTACGATATTTCATTTATATTTAATATTTTCCAATATTACACTTTTTAATAATCCATACTTATTCACCTGTTGATTAATTATTCAAATGTATGGTCATTCAAATGACTAATGACAGAGTAATTTTTTAAGTTAGGTATCGTGATTTACCTTTAGATGTTCAAAAATTTATATTGTAGACAGACAATGAATCAGTAAATAATATATCTAACAAAGCCAGATTATTGCCAGTATTCTTTTTGTTTTCTATATCTGTCGATTTGATGCTATTCCCATGAATATCTATGTTTATATATAAACATTGTTTATACTATAAAGGGTTCAGATTAAATTACCGTGTATGTAGTGTGTTATTACAAGAAAAGGAGACTATAAATTTTAAAATGATAAGAAAATAAAAAAGCTTTAAGCTACTTTGTTTAGTTAGCTACTTAGTTTCCGAATTAACGGGTTCGCTTGTTGGTTGTTACTAACACGGATTTCATGCAAATGCAATATTTGGGTCTCTTTCACCATTTTAAAAATATATTTTCTATTCCATCAAATTACCACAGAAAAATCCGCAGACGAACTTTTTATTATGTGATTTGAAAGAAAATTTGTCATTTCCTAAAATGTCAAATTTTAGGGTATCGTACTATCTCGGGTGCATCATAATAATTTTAATCTTTACTCGATAAGAAATAATTACATTATCAGTCAAAATATTTTTACTTTCTTTGTTCTCGTAAAAAAATTATAGAAAGCCATCAAACAAAGCTATGTTTGATGCATGGATCCCGAGAGGATACGATAGAAATCCAATTGAACTATGTATTGCTCTAATGTGCAGGTGATGCGAAGCTACCCGGATGGTGAGTAGGGTGGGCAGGAGGCTGGCAGTTCAATGGGCAGGTGGGCAGCGTTGGGCAGCTTGCTGCAGCGTAAAAGGGTATTTAACCCTGAGCAGCTGGAAAGTGGCAATTTAAGACGGTAATGGATTTGTATAATCACGCAAGTCACAATGTAAGAAAGAGGAAGTTAATCTGAATTAATGTTTCAGATGTCTGACAGTCTGGGACCTGATTGCGTTGGGAGTAGGCAGCACGCTTGGCGTAGGCGTGTACGTGCTGGTGGGCTCAGTGGCTATGAACTTTGCAGGACCTGCCATCGTACTCTCCTTTCTCATCGCGGCCATCGCTTCGCTTTTCGCGGGTAGGTACCTTATACAATCCTAGGTTCCTACTTATATTTAGTATAATATCATAATATACCTACACTTGTTTTCATAATCTTAATGTTCGCAATTTCGTTTCGCTTCTTTTCAAAGGCACCAAAATCATCCACACTAATGTAGGCCTGGTTTGTTAGTTTTTGTTTAAAGATTGTTATATTATTATTTTTTACGTAGTGATCTTACAATCAATTTATTAAGATGGATGGTGAAGAGTTGCAATTTAGTTATTTGGTGGTCGTTTATGATAGGTCTATGTTATGCGGAGTTCGGATCTCGCGTTCCGCGCGCTGGTTCGGCTTACATCTACACTTACGTCACTATGGGACAACTCGTGGCCTTCATCGTCGGTTGGAATATGATCCTTGAAGCATTATTTGGTAAACCAGATCCTTTCCTTTAATACTTGTTCAACCAACAAACCACCGTTTATGACCCAAAATTTTTTTTGTGTATGCACCTACGTAATAAAGTAAAAAAGGGCCACGGCTTTTTAACAGAATTTTTTATCCATTCTACACTAAAGCATAACAATTAATAGTTTGAATCTTACATATGAAAAATTACTATTTCAGCTACAGCTAGCGTCGCCCGAGGGCTAAGCATGTACGTGGATTCGATGCTAAATAAAACGATGTCAGAGGCGTTCTTGTCCATCGCACCAATATCGGTTCAACCGTTTTCGCCCTACTTCGACTTTTTCGCATTTGGAGTGGTAATTGTACTTGGAGGTTGGTATTAATTATAAAGTATAGAAATTATTTTCAGTTACAAAAACTCGGTACTAAGATACTATAGTACCTATAAAGAAGATTTAAATGTAGTGTTTGTTTTGTTACAGTGGTATTGGCAGTGGGTGTGCGTCAATCGGCAACAGTTAACAACATCTTTGCTCTAATCAACATTGTCGTTATCGTGTTCATTGTGGTCGCCGGGACTATCACAGGTATCTTATTCCGATTGTAGTAGTAGTACAAGATTATTTTGTATTTTATTCTTCTGCGGGTATTTGCAATCGGCTCTAAGGCTATGAGCGAATCTGTTTTGTGGTGCTGTGTATATGATAATTAATTCATTTAAAGTTATGTTGTTTATCAAAAGCAATATAATATGTATTCTCTTGGTAATTGAAGAGTCAACAGATGGTCTATAAATAACAGTTACTACTAGTACAGTTTCTAATTTCCTTTCTTTTTATAACGATATATCGTTTACAGCAAATCCATCAAATTGGAGAATACCAGGAACAGAGGTACCGGCGGAGTTTGGCAAAGGGGGTTTCTTTCCGTATGGTATATGGGGCGTTTTTAAAGGAGCAGCGGTATGCTTCTATGGTTTTGTGGGTTTTGACTCTATTAGCGCAACAGGAGAAGAGGTAAGAAATTTCGTTGTAGTACTTTTTTTTGAACTAAGATTTGTGAACTAAAATTTTAGCAATATAAACAATATGTAGATAGAATTTCCATGCAATATTTATTATTAAAGGTAAAAGATCCTCGTCGAGTAATCCCCATAGCGATCTTGGCGGTGTTGGTGCTTATATTTTTCGTGTATGCCGCAGTGTCTACCGTCATCACCATGATGGTGCCTTACTACTTGCAGGTAAAGTAAAGTTTCACTCCGAGTCGTTTGTATGGTTCAATTTAACCATGAGTGCTACTTTAAGTATCTTAACATTGCATCAACTTTTGCAATGAATGAACAATGGAATAGTTAAAGTATCATTAAAATCTTTGACACTGTTTAGATCTAATGCGGTAGTATGACGATTTATCAATTTCGCAAATATTTTTTCATCAGGATACGACGGCGGCTTTAGCAAGTGCCTTTAGCTATGTGGGTTGGGAGTGGGCTCGGTGGGTAGTTTCCATCGGTGCTATCTTCGGTATATCTGCTAGGTAAGTTTTTACTGGAGTACTAGAATTTAACTCTAATAAATACTTACTTATTACTAGGATAATAAGTTTTTAAGATACAACATAATATCATATTTCCAGTCTATATGGCGCAATGTTTCCCTTGCCGCGGCTGCTATACGCGATGTCTTCAGATGGCCTGCTCCTGCGCTGGTTGGGACACGTTACCGCCGCAAACCAATCACCGACAGTCGCCACTGTTCTTCCAGCTCTTATCATAGGTAACTTTATATATGTTAACGTAAAATTGTAAATACCGTTAGATTGTAATCTATCTCGCAAGATTATAAACTGTCGAAAGATTGTGAACTCAACGTACTGCTTACAATTTAACGTATTATTATTCGGTAGATTTTAATCTATCGAAGTGAAATCGTCAAATTGTGAAACGGTACGCACCTCGCGCGCTGATTGGTCGGCTTTATAGTAGACCGTTATATGTCCATAGAGTTAGGAATGAAACAAGGGTATCGGTCAAATAAAATGAATGCACTTTAAAAATTAGTATTTATTACTTAGTAGGTAATCAATAATTCTGACATCACATGATGAAAAAAAAAAATATATCAAAATAAATAAATCAGAAACGTAACAATATTTTCTCTTCAAACACAAATTAAAATTGAAAAATTAATGAAATTTTCTTTTAGAAAAAAACTATCACAAAATAAAATCAAAATTAAAAAAAAAAACAAATCGAAAACATATGAACGTTTTTGAAAACATAACAAAATTGTCTATTATATAAAAAATAAGAAAGTAAATTGCACCAATAAAAATGTTCATTATTGTTGCACGTCAACGATTTGTGGCACTTGGACTTACAAAGAACATTAGCTTTATTTTTATTTTTTTGCAATTACATTTTTTACTATTTTTATTATGTCCGCTGTAATAGTTTTGTAACCCTATGGTAAATTCTTCCTTATTAACAATACCTAATATTTCTGAGTTTTGTTGATCGACAGGCTCAATATCCGACATTGTAAATACGAGATCAAAAGGTTAGCGAATAAAAAATATTAAAACACGGAAAATGTATGTAATTTAACTATGTTTGGAGACCAACACTAACTTAATTATCATTCAAACTGCACTTTTTGGTCAATCACAGATTAATTTTACTTCCACAACAATTTCATATAACTTTTCACGTTCACTTTCAACATCCTAAAGCTGTGAGTTACTTTCAAGACGACATCAATTTACATTCACCAAAACACCGTTTGTTTACATTCGACAACAAACGAATTAAAAACAAATATGGTCCACATGGCATATCGTTCAAAATCAGGGGAGGTGGTACGTTTCAAATTTGAATTTATTGATAGATATAATCTACCAATAATAAATAATACGTTAAATGTAAGAGTAGTTGAGTTAAATTTTGATTTAAATTGGGATAGATTACAATCTAACGGTTTTTACAATTTTACGTTGACATATAGATTATAATTATCGATTTTGATTGTTGGTCTTTAAAATAAAAACCATATCGAAGAAATAGAAACATTATATGCAAGTTTTATAGACATCATTTTTATCTTTTTTATATCAATTTTTTTTTCAGCTATACTGGCCGGTGTTTTAGAGCTCCAAGAGCTAGTGATGATGATGTGTGTAGGAACGCTACTTTCGTACACCATCGTAGCTATTTGTGTTATAATATTGAGGTCGGTATCACATACTACATTTGTATATTTTTTATTATTTACCTTGAAATACGGTAAACTTCGTGGCCTTTTTTAAATATTTATATTTTACATAGTATTACTGTAAACATTACTTAGAAGAGTAACCGTTTTAGATATCGTTCCGATTCAATGTCGTCGACTGGATATTGCTTTATAAGAAGAGTTTTCTGTTGTGGAGAGAAAACACCATCACAGACATCTTCTTTGGTGGTTAAAATAACTTTATCATTATTTAGTAAGTACGTTTTTACTTTAAAATAATTATTTCGTAAAATTATACTAAAGCGATTTAATAACCATCTTTCTTCCAGCTAGTATATGTCTATCAACGGCTCTTGTCGTAACTCATATTGAGAGACCACTGATCCCAACGGCTATACTACACTTGTTAGCTCTGCTTCTCATCACAATTATAGCCATACAACCTCAGAATAAAGAAGAGTTGTCTTTTAAGGTAATTTCTTTCGGTTTGTATTACAGTATTGAAAATCAAAATGGATATTTTTTATACATTAATATTCGCATTTCAGACTCCACTGGTACCCCTAATTCCATGCCTTAGCATATATGTCAATGTTAACCTAATGATCTTAATTAGTGTGCAGACTTGGATTCGTGTTCTCATTTGGATGGCCATTGGTAAGTGTATCATTTAAAAAAGTAAACCAAATGTCATTGTCTGTCTGAATACAATTTAAAATTAACATAAATTGACAAGAAAAGTTATGAGATTTCGTTACTTGTAGGTGTACCAGTCTACATAGTTTGTGCTTGTTGCTATAAAGGTAATACTGGCGATAGTGAATCAAAAAATTTTGCTCATATGAATAAAAAAGGAAAACCTCCTGTGCAAATATTTGTCGAATCACCAACACCTCCAGATACTATTAAGTATAGTGGAACCGGAGGTGATCAGATCGTGCAACAGGGCGGAAATACGCTAGTCATACGAGATAATCCAAGAAATACCTTACCACTTATTACCGAAGAAATAACAATACAAAACGCTTATATTGAAGATACAACAGAAAAAGAAGCGAAAATAATAGATCTGTTAGATCAAGTTATTCAAGCTGAAGAAGATGCCTTCAGTGAAATAGTAAGTTTAAAAGAGCAAAGAAACGCAAGCGAAGTGCCTGTTCAGGAAAAGCAAAGAAAGTCACTTAGTGAGTTGTCCGATGCGGGTTCCGATGTATCGAGTAATCAAGCGTTATCAAAGTATGATGTGGTAGCACAGGTGCATAGAGAAGATTTACCTAAACTTGAAGAAGAAGATGAGATAAAGCAAATATCGGATATTGAAAACGAAACTACTGTTAGCAATCAGGAGAAAGTAGATAATCATAAAAGTCCAGATTTGAAAGAGGATCAAAATGAAGACAGTGACGAAATTATTGAAAGTGATGCTAACTCAAGAACTGATGAGTCCGGTTACTCTGACACCTTAGATAAAACACCACAAAATGAAATAATTGAAGATAAAGAGATATATGATATACCAACGCCCCCTCCGCTTGATGAAACCTTCTTTGCAAGTCAAACATCGGTGCGACTAACGAAAGTTAGATTACCTGAACCTCAAGTCACTAAGCTCCGAGAAAGTGTTCAATCAAATGGATCTGTCGATGATGAGACCATGACACTCGGCAGTGATAAACATATAAACTTTATGACCAACGATAAAGAGATTTCTAATATACCAACGCCCCCTCCGCTTGATGAAAACTTCTTTGCAAGTCCAACATTTATAAAGTCATATACAATATCGGTGCGACCAACGAAAGTCAGATTGCCTGAACCTCAAGTCACTAAGCCCCGAGAAAGTGTTCAATCAAATGGATCTATCGATGATGAGCCCATGACATTCGGCAGTGATAAACAGATAAACTTTATGACCAAACTAAACACTATTTTTCAAAATAAAATATCTGAAGGCAGTGATAGTGGGGATGAAAAAAGAACAAGATCCAATTCAGCGGGTAATTTAACCGAAAATACAGAATTTGCGACACTAAACCTCGAGAGACCACAACTGTTTTTAGATTTGAAAAAAGAAATGCTTTCTAGAGACCAAGCAAATACATTAAAACCAGTCAAAATACAAGAAAATTATCCCGAAGAAGAATCTGAAGATGAAAGTATGAGTAAAGATGTTTTAAAATCGAAACTTGAAAACATATTTGCAACCGGAGGACCAAAACCAAGGAAAGCAAGATTAGTGAAATCTAATCCTCCAACGCCTGAAGAGTCATACCAAACCGACACTTCCAGCATAGAGAGTATACCAAAGATGCCAAAGATTGAGAAAAACGACACGTTAAAGCGGCAAAAGGACAAGTTTGGGGAAGTTTTAAATTCACTGCGATTGTCACTTAGAGATGATCCAGTATGAAATATTATTTATAAGAACCCTGTATTTGCCTTAAAAAATATAATAATGGAATCAATAAATATCATTTCAATTTCATCATGAATACAGATAAGAATAATGATTGAATCCGTATTTAATGAATGTAAAAATGAATAACGAATTGTAGATATAAGCAATATTTCATAAATTATGCAAATCAAATCTGATGTCCTGAAAGACTGAAGTGTCGCAATTATAATTGTACGTATGTTTTGCTTTGTTGTTTTTTTATAATAAAACGTGTTATTAATAATTATATTATGCGTGTTTAGGATTTGTTTTATTTTTATTCAAACTATAATTGCATATTGTGTAAAATTAATTTAATTTTGGGTCTGAATACTCGATTCTCGAATGACACTGTCAGTTTATGTATAAAAAGTCTTTTGTATAAAATACAATTTATTAAAACTCATACCAAAACATATAAAATAACTATAACAAATCTAAGATGTCTCGTTCCTGTATATTTCTTTTACGATCGGCTGCAGCTCCATTTCCTTCGCACACATTACGAGCAACTCATCCAGTATACGTTCAGACACCCTACAATTATAACTTAGTTAACTGTTGGAAAATTATCATGATAAAAATACTTTGATTGGAATTTTATAGATAAGGTACATTTCTGTTTTAATACGGACGCACAAAAAAAGCTAGTCCGACATAAACGTACTACATCAGAATTGAGAATCGCACGCTTAATCTCTGAGCTAACGCTGCTAGCTCAGATTGTCCATTAGGAAAGATTAAAAAATTGGGTGCGATCATTAACATCTTTTGTTATTAGTGGAAATGCTTAAAATCGTCTACTATTAGCCTACATTATACATTGCCCTAGAAGCCCATTAATTAGAAATCTTTAATTTTTATAATCATGAACATATTACTATACGTAATTGTTTAGTTTTTTATCACTTATCAATATTCAAGATAGGAAACCAAAATAAAACTAATAGTATCTAATTAAGCAATAGATAGGGATTTTTCAAGAACTATGTACTAGCCGTTTAAATGAAGTAATATTTTTGTAAAATCTAGAGAAATTCGAAGGTGTTGTGAGTGTGAGCTGTGAGGTATGCAAGTTGTGACCTACTTGCCAATGACTTCCCAGGGTTTTCCAACGGCACTGTTAGCGTATAGGGGACTAGCGAGCATGTGTTGCATGAAGGCCGTCCGATAGTTGAAGAGGCGCTCGGCCGCGTTCTCGTCCACGCAAAGCGCCATTCGGCATCGCTCTAACGATCGCGTCGCCAGCGCCACTTCAGAAGCAGGTACCCCGCTTGTTGTTCGGGGTGGCTTTTTCTTAATCGTCTCTTCCAATATCTGTAGTTGAAACTTGGATCACTTAAAGAAATATAACGAAGCTATACTAAACAAGTATTCAAGGTTACTATTTCGAATTGGAACGTTTTATAATTATTTTAAGTTCATTCAAGGCAGCTATAACAAACCTAATGAAGAAACTAATAGTGTGTTTTTCATTCGTAATTGAGTCAGAATTCAGTTACTTTCTACATGTTTTTTTTAACATAAACTTAAGTACTAGGAAATATGCATAACAAAATACACACCTTCAAAAGCTGCGGTGTGCTGGGTTGCCTTGGACTACCACTGCTCATGCAGATAAGCTGCCCATTCTTTGCACCCGATATACGTTCGATTCGCGTTCTAAAAAGTAAAGATTTGTCTCACAACGTATAAACAGAATGGACAAATGAAATTTGAATTTTAACCTAGTCAACAAGTTTTAAAATAAATAGGTTATTTTAATTTAGTTTTAAAATAACAAGCTTACACGCCAATAAGGTCCTAATAAAAATAGGAATGTATTCTGCAAGGACCCAACAAGATTACGGTAGAAGTCTGTATTCAGTAAAAATATCAATTTATTCTTAAGCTGATTGTGAATGCAATTGAATCTTTAAGTATACATTTTAAGGAATGTGATGTTTTTTCCATTTTCAATTAGCTTGCTTGCTTCGAACTAAGAGTCTCTTAATTTTAAATATCACTAGTACCTACTGTAATGTTGATGTTGTTTATATTAATATCCCTCTAGTGAAAAGCCATGTCAAAGAACATTAATATGACAATAAATAACAGAGGGTGGAAATCGCCTTGGGGAGTGTCTAGACGAGACCATGACTTTCACACTTGTCATAGGTCAAACAATATTATAATTTTTATAATTTTTATAATATTCATTAAGGCAAAGGGTGTTATTTGGCGCGAGCAGAGGATTTTCGGGCTTTGAACTAAAATTGCAACAATGAATATTAAAATGACTACTAGTTCGTGTTTTTTTTAAATCAAATTCTATTCTCGTTCGGTAACTTTCTACTTTTCGCCGGAAGCTGCATTAACTTCACTTCTTCATTTAAAAGGTAAATTTCACGAGTTCACACTTTATAGAATATGATTTTGAGGCGCTTGGCATTGGCCCATATCTCCTTAGATAATAGTCAATAGACAGATAATAGTCAATAGATAGCAGTTTAGCCCATAAAGCAGTAATTCCGCACATACGGATTTAGAATGAAACAGGTCATAAAATAAGGCGGATAACTAGCTGTGACATCAGCCGAGGTCAGCTCAATGCAGACCGCATTGCACACCTCTATTACTTTATTAGCACTATTTTTACACAGACTAATAATCCAAGTAAAAAACAAGACATTCTTATTCCTTGTAATAAGGTTTTGTGGAAACATTAATATTACAAATAAAGAAAACTAAAAAAGGGAAAAAAAAAATAAAATATAAAAAATTTAAAATTATTTAAAAATTACAAGAACATTCTTAATTCCTTGTAATAAAGTTTTTTCTTTAAATGTGTAAAGGTTATGTTAATCAAAGACAATACTATATTACAAATAACTTATTTTATATACATTATAATAAATAAATAAATCCTCTATTTGTCTTGACCGAGGTACATATTATGATGGATGAATTAGAAAAGTCCGCACGGTAATTAAAAGCAATTAAATTATATATAACGTCCTATTCTATGTAAGTATCTAACAATTGCAACGATTCTTGCATGAAATTGTGTTGAATTTTGCCAACACGGAACATTAAATAAGAAGATAGAAAGTAAGAAGTAGTAATTTACTTAATTATACACGGTGTATATATATCGGGATGATCAAAATTAATCTGTAAGGTATTTCAAAAACACCATGTATGTACAGTAGAGCACAAGGTGACCTTGAACTGAGCAAAGTCATGGCCGCGACAGTGCGGAAGTGTGACCTTATGATGCGATGGGGTCTATGGAGTGAGGGGATGGAACGACCTGATACAGACCTAAAGTGGCCAAGCTTTTGAATTTAAATAGACAAAAAAAACCTAGCTTTGTAACAGCCTACAGAGGCTACATTGAATAAACAATAACTCTAATGTTTCAAAGCTTCGTGCGTACAGTTTAGTTGTTTATTTAAAATGTTATTTAGACACTTATGTACGTCAATATTTAAAAAAGGGAATATCTAAATTTACTACCTTCAAATTATTGATAACCGATGTCATTGTAACAATGTACCCAGATTTATCCCTTACATTTTAAAACATATTGAACCTACAATTCAGTACATTTAAAGCTCCTACGTTATCGTTGGGAATTTATGAGTTCTGTCTTTAACCTTGTAACAAATATATAAATTGCACATTAATTGACATTATTTCCAATTAACAATGACAAATAGAAGTCTCCATAAAACTAATTACTAAAATTATTTTCACGTGCCCTAAGCACTCTAATACGTTATTGTAATGAAATGTCTGGGGATTGCGACCTAAGGCTAGATGGCTATCAGTGACCTAACAGCGCGTGATGACTCCAGCGCACCAAGATCTTGAGGTCGATTCATTTACGGAACAATGGGAAGACGTGACTATAGTACCTGCTGATGTTGCGACATCTATAACTTTCAGGCTCAAACTTACTGGAGCCAAATAATCTAGACTCAGATTTTAGATTAGATAGCCATATATGAAAAGTAAAAAATACCTAAAAACTAGATTTTTGGGAAATTACCGCTCATTAGTGCCGAGTGCAGAGATGTGTAAGTATACGGTTTTAAACGATTTAAAAAAATCAATTCTTACTCATAATAATTAGTCACACCTCGCCATTTTTGTTTCTCTGTGGGTGTGACAGTTCATAAAGTGGTTTATACTCATTGTCCTCTTCTATTGTATTAGATTAGATAAAGATGTATAGACCATTTAACACACTCACTTGTCCATATATGTAGTAATTATGTGTGGGAAATTTGAATCAGATAAATGATAAATTTACAGAGTAGCGATTTAAGACAAACATTAATTTGTATGCTTGTTAAGAATAATAATATTTCTCATTGATAGAATTGGTTTTTCGTATTTGTTAATTCAATAAATTAAACAGGAAGGAGAACAAGACAGCTATCAGTATTTAAATCAAAATATTAAATTAGGACTTTTTCCAATTTATTAATGGTTTAAAGATCAATATCAAATAGGCACATTTTATGTTAGTAAGATAATTTGATCGGCGCACAACGGGGACTTGAACGGACGACCTCAGGGTTGAGGCGCACGCTTAAACTACTACTTGCATGGCGACGGTATTACTGATAATAATCACTTATTAATTAGTTAAGTAGCAATAGCTCACCCGGGTGAGTCCCCACCGCAGAGCTGTCGCAGCAGTGTCATCACCTCGCAGCCGCCAACTGTTGATGCCTGAAAAGATAAATCCACATTATTAACCTTTAATTTTCAAAAATACTTTTTGCAACCTGATTTCTTTGTGACTGTTAACTATATAAGGTCTCAATATAAACTTCTAAAATATGACCTATTTATACATACGTTAACAAGAGAATGTCCATAATAATTAAAAGCCTTTTCAAAGTCGTTTCCCGTACCAATCCGTGCAATTCGGTAAATGCAACCATTACGTCATTTGAGATAACATTTTCGCGCCGGCTCTAGTGCTGCGCACCTGACCTTACTCGTTCGATAAAAGCTTAGGGAATATAAGAAATGTGAAATGCCTTGACAGCGGTGGCGGGCTTGACAATATTTTCAGATTGTATAATTTAATTAAAGTTATAATTTTCATTGCACCTTGTACAATTTGCGTGTTAAAGTATTGTTATAAAATAGTAAGTGAAAAAATAAATAAACAAAGAACAACCGTTTAATAATGTAACGACTTTATCTATATACATATGTAGTCGAAGACTGATACTCAAACAACGTTCTATAATTTTTATTTAAAACTAAAAATTAATTTTGTCAATTTTATTAAGTTCGTCATGTACGAAAATGACTAGGGTTACGGCTACGGGTTTATCGTACCATTACACAGCGCAACATAGTAGAGTGAAAATTGTCGTATTTAGATAAATTAGTTATTAATATGTAGTATAGATCAGAAACTTTACCAAATTCGCAAAACTCTATCATCAAAGCACATGACATTCGACTAATCGGGTGATTATCGACAATCCTGACGTATCATCCCTCGATAACAAACAATGAAGACATCACTAGAAGCGCGCTAAGAGCTCAGTTATTACTGCGGGCTCGTGCGAGTCGATCGTGTCAAATATTGTGTTCAACTACACCGATTTTCCGTAAAGATGGTAAGTTTTACTTTATATAAAACAATTCCTGTCATATTTTAAGGACAAGAATTGCTTTCTGGCGATTTTCTTTTATTCTAATAATATTGTAAAAAAAAAATTCTTAATTAAATCAGAAAAGTCAAAAAAATTACTTCTATGTATGACATACCTACCTTCAAATTGTTTATTAGTAGGGTTATGACAAAATATGAAAAGCTTTGTTATTGTTATCTTAAGATAGAACAATCCACATCTGTCCAAAAAATTAACATGAAAATAAAGATGTTTTCCCTTTTAGAATGTAAATTAAACCTATAAACCTTAAACTATATATATTCGATATAAATGTAATATTTAAAACGTTTGAATTCTTGGTTACGATAAAAATAGAGCGTGCAAGTATTATAAACAGACAAGACGTAGGTGATACGCTAATTTTATTATACTGATTTTTTTATTAAAAAATTCTTTAGCAAAACCTAAAAATATAATCATTAAAAATATTTATTTTAAAACGCTACAATGATGCAGTTCTTATCACTTGAGTTATGAATCAATTGTTTTAAAAAAACTCTCTTTAAATCGATAAAACACCAGATATCTAAACTAGCAAATGTGATAGGTTTATATCCTTTTCCCATTATTTGTAAGACGTAAGATAATTTGTCTAGTGTGTGCAGAAAATAATCCCACTAAGGCTTTATAAACTCATCTGGACTACAACACTAGGCTTAACATAAACCTTTTGCCAGTCCGACGTTTACCTTTTGTGACCCAATCCCCCCTCTAAATACCTATGACTGTGTATACGTTAAGACGCAAATTTTAATAAAACCAAAAATAGTAATTTATCAGTTAAATTATAGGTACAAAACAATGTTTATTGAAAGTTCTAAAATCACTCGCAAAATTAGTATTTTTAAATCCCTTCCTAATTAGTATGGCTGGACGCGATCGCTTTTACCGAAATGACCGACGGCTGCCCTTCTCATTATTTAAAAATTATGATTGTTTTCATGTTTCTGGTTAAATATATATTTTAGTTTGTTTTCCATCTGTCACGTGTTGTTGTGTTGACATCACGAGGAGGACAAAGCTACAACCGACAGCTATAAATAGTATCTGGGAGGACACTCAATCATCGCTAACCATCCGTCAATTGGAAATAACCAAGTTTTATTGCTTGTATTGGTTCGTTCAATTGTTTATCTTATTTCGTCGGAAATCCACTCAAAAAATCTTTTCGAAATTCAAATTTTGGGCTAGGTAACAGACTCAACCATCTTTTTAACAATAAATTAATATATGTTGAGATACTTGTGGTGTAATCTGCATTACATTAATGCAAATAGATAAGATTCCATCCCCAAAAGACAGTTCAGTCTTAGGACATTTTTCATGCAAAGTTTTACTTTTCCCTTCCTCCAGTTCTAAGAATTTAAGACGCGGCAATAATCTACATAAATTATGAAGCTAGGAATAGGTACTCCAGCGAATGTTTGCTAGTGTGATGTAGCAAGTCATAAAGAGAAGAACTCTATAAGATAATTCGACGAAAACGAAATCGTTGCTATCTAGTAAATTTTGTACTATCAAAGTGACCTATATATTTCATTCCACATTAGACAACCTCATTATATCAGGTAAATTACAGCGATATTAATGGAAAGTAACATGATTCAAGAGTGTATTTCTAGATTTTCAGCGTATCGCTACAATAACAGCGGCATCCAGTAGAATATCGTTTTGAAATATATTATCTAGCCTAGTCCTCATGCGCTATCTTTAACTTTTATTGCACGTCGAATATATAGTTTTATCAACATCATACATTTCAAAAGATGTTTAATTTGGCAATTTTTAAATGATGATAAATAATACAAACTTTTGATTTGAAATATTTATCAGAGGTCTAAAACACTGATGATATTAAAACTGTACAGTCTTCCATTCAGCAATGTTAAGAGATATATAAAAATGAACAAATACCTTGCAAAATAAAAAATACCTTTAATAATTTATGAAGTAAAATAACTGATATGACATCGTTGGCTGTAGGCCAAGCATATCTGTCGATTTGAAGTGTGTGTAAAACTTATATTTTAATACATATCAGAAACCAAACTTGCAAAAAACTATTGTGTGATGGAATGTGGTTGCACAGCACTCCCAATTTTTATTGCTTGACAACTACTGAAGCATTAATTACGTTGTATGCAAAACATTTTTTGAATTTAACACATTGAAAAATTAAATTTAAATGTCGCCATGAACTATCCGCCCACAAGCGATAAATCTCTTAGAATGCGAAAGAAATGTATTTGGACGGCAGTTCGGCTGGATGGCGACACCTCATCGCTTCCACACGGTACTACTTGTTGTTAGTCACGGATTCATGTGCCCACCGATACACGCTAAACAGGTGCTCCATAACAAGACCAATCGCCTAGCCACTTATGATATTGGTTTTATTACAAATTTCCAGCGTTACGATTTTATATATTTAGTCTACGTATTTCGAAACCATTCTACTTAGGGTCCTAAGAGCATACCATTCTTGAAAGGCCGGCAACGCACTTGAGCCTCCTGGCATTGGAGTGTCCATGCCGTAGACTCGCTGAGCCCCCCCCTACCTCAGGGGGGCCCCCTGCCCGTTTGCCTCCTATTACTTAAAATTTTAGCTACGTCTAGGACATCCTAGTGCATGACATGACTAGACTCCTGAGCAATTTAAAACCTTTACTTCTCCTCTATCGGTACAGTAGTTCCGTTAAATTAAAATTTTGATTTACTTTTGCAATCTGATATGGCCCTTTATGAATCACACGACCAGTGCACGATACTTAAGATTAATTAATACGAAAAATACACACTGTAAAAATTGGATTCAATGTCCAGAAATATTTGAACAGTATATTAGAAGCGTTATAAACTGGAATGATCACAATACCTTCCCACGCGGCGCCTATTTCTGCTAACGGGGACTTTGGGAAGGTCAGCGATCCGTTTGCACTATCATGCAGCATCGGTATATATTTTTTTAGCAATTGTCATACAAACTAAGGGCTTTAAATACAACTTTCCTAACAATTATTTTTAATTATATAATCATTTGGTTTGCCGTTAATGTCTCGTTTAGCTGTATGTTCTAAACCACTACGTCTAATTGTTTAATAACCTAAACTACAATTATTACGAATGACAAAGATAAATGTATTTAAAGTATATATACCTCAACCATAATAACATACAACCCATAAGCATGCATAAGCAGAATGCTCTGACGTGGTTTTATGCATAATACTGTTATCTTAAACTAAAATCATTTTAATAGCAGAAAATTTATAAACTACAAGTAACTAAGCTATTATTAAATTATCACCTTTTAACTCAAATCAACCAAAAAAATTTAAAACGTGAATATGAGTTCATATTATTGTAATTTTATAAAGCTACTTTGTTACATTAAAGAGAGGACCTTTGGCTAATAAAAGCTATTTTTTTTTCTAATTTTAAACAAACGAGATGGTTTTACTAGTAATTTTAACTTTTACATACTTAACTTAATATTTAAACTATTATTATTAGTTTCTTAATATTTTGGAAAATTCTTGAAAAATAATGAATACGATGAAATGATGATAAGGATATTAAAAATATTTTTATCGATGACTCTTTTGTTATTGGAAATCAGACAAATATAACGTTGGGTATATGAATAGCATTTTCTTATCGGATCCTAGATAAAAACAAATTAGTTTACTAACTGATCTTAAAAAGCAGAATAAATAATAAGTTTACGATTACAACTTTAATCTGTAAACAACTATCAATACTCCTATAAATTAAAGAAATTTTGTTAAAAGTAAATAACAAAAACGAACCTTTAAGTTTTAAAAATTTTTCTAACATAAATTTTTTCTATTACGTGGTATATTTGATGTATTAAAAAAATATAAAAAGTTAGTGCATGTATATTATATTAAACAAAGTAAAATACAGATGCATCTAATGCAAATGTGTATTTCTCATTGTTAATGAGCCGAGACAAGGTGTTCTCCATGATAAAGACATTAATAGCCGCTACAACAATGAACGTACTGCGCATTTGCTGTTTATTTGAGGTGCTTACATAATGTATATAAATAAATATCTCAAATAAATTTTCACTTATTTTCAAGGATTAAAACAAGAATTAAACACGTCTTACAATAATCTTTATAGCCTTATAATAAAACGTGCACTACATATTAAAGATTTTTCGTAAAAAAAAACAACCATGTGAACGGTATAATCTTTAGACCACGTTTTATAAGAATTCATTCGCCATCTAAAAAGTGCCTCTATTTTTTACATCTGTGCAAGACCATGCAGTTAGTAAGATAAGGTGAAATTTGCAGGAAACTTTAAATGACGAGTTACTAACTTCATTATGGACAGTGGTCAAATGATTTAATATATGAAACATGGTTGCAACGCCCTTTGAGTTATTAAGTTTAATTTTACTTTAGCTATAACATCGTTAACTGTTTGACAGTTTTATTTCAATTTATTATCCTCGTGATTGTTACGAGTGTCAAAGGATATTTTTGAAATCGGTAATTGCATCAAGCTACGATACAACTACACTTTGGGTTTCACTATCACAATATTGGCATTAACTATGGCCGTGATATGCCATAAGTGGTAATGTTGTACATTTTCTCGTAAAGTAGCTGAAAGGTGTTTTAAACAGAGTCTGCGGGATTTATTCATTAGCTCCCCACGTTATCGCATCCCCACAAGATCCTATTTTACAGGGTATAATTGCATGATGTTTTTACACTTAATACACAAATATAGCATTTGTTTTCATGTCAGTGATTACGTAACAAGATAACTAAAATTTAAAGACTATATTAAAATTTTGCTTATGCTTTACGAGAATACTAAATAAAAATAAAACTTTCTTAACAACAACTCTATTGACCATGACGGCTGAAAAGCACCCCAAACGCCGAGATATCTAAATAGGCACATAACACCAAGATTCGCGTATAATATTAGAGAAGTTTTGTTTAAATAACAGGACTTTAATAAACCCATATGTCAGTTGCTTTTGTTAAATTCTTAATACTATGTCATTGATAATAACATAGATTTACGAGTAGCTACGAGTAGTTCAAGTAGTACACAAAGAAATTACGATATAAGGTACTTTAATATCACGATTTCCATGGAGTCTTACTTAATAAAGATGTTTTTTTTATTGATAAACATTTCGATAGCCTTTACGAGTTTTGTCCTTATTACGTTTCTTTATAACGTTGTCGACCTTATGGTCGCCACTTAATGTGTAACCATATAATATGTGATTGTACAAACATTTAAGGCATTAAAATACTCTTTTTACAGGCAACCAAAGACCCAGCACCTGTCATCTGCAACAGCTGCAATGGAGCTATTCAAGGCAGAGTACGTACCTTTTAAATAAAAATCTGCTCTTAAAACTAAAATAAGTTGCATTAATATTATAAAAAATAGCTTTGGTAATTGTTATTATTTGACTAGTCATAGCGGCCGCAAAGGTTTTTTATCTCTTGATAATCACAAATTTTGCCTTTCATACATTATTTACAGGTAGGTACAATGAGAAAGCGAAAAATGGTCAATTACAAAGTTTTAAAACTAATAATGTGAATATACAATTTTCAAGCCGCACAAGAAGATTCAGCAATTCCTAAGACCAATCAAAAGTAACACCCCGTTGCAAGATGCAGGTACATATACAAACTGGATTGCGACTGTTGCCTGTCTTACATAGGGCAAACTAAACGCAATATGTCCAGCAGACTCAAAGAACACATTGCGGACATAAGACATAGACGACACACAAAATCAGCAGTCTGTGAACACATACTAGATAGGCCTAATCACTGCATACGCTTTGATCAACCGAAAGTACTTGCGAAAGAAAAATGGTTCTTCCCAAGATTGGTACGCGAAGCCATTGAAAGCAAAAAACCCCCCAATTTCAATAGAGAAGACGGCCTAAAATTGTCAAACACCTGGGATCCAATAATATCCCAATTAAAATCTCAAGAAAAACAATCCGCGAAAATAGAGGACACCGTGAGCCATTTTTGCCAAAACCCTCCATCTTTTAGTCGATACCAACTCCGGGGAAATAAATACAGATAATGCAACTTTCTATACAGCTGTGATACTTTTTTAACTACCAACACCTTTTGTCTTCAGACACCGTGACCACGCACGCTGTAAAGCACGCGAAACGTCGGATAAATTTAAAATTATGTTAAATAATTGTAAATTTTATAATAATACATAACTTTAATCCGGTTAAAAAGTTTTTTCTTTAAATATATGAATTTTAACCTAAATGTAATGGTATTTAAAATTAGTTATGAATTCCTACACTGGACCCGGACCGGATTTTTAAAGGACCTTCGACTGGTATATGGTGGTCAATAAAAATAGATAACAGAAATATTTTTTCATATCATATCAGTAATAGGAATAACTATGGAACTTATCAAGGGATAATTGTATTTATCATATATCTATACGGTTGTCGCAACAAGTCAATATAATAGTATAATATTACTTAAGATTACCGATTAGTTTATTTATCGTAAAGGTCATATGGAAAATATTAGGTACTTGAGAAGAATAATATTAAATATTAACAAAATCGAAAACATTGATAAAAACCAAATTAGAGAACCATTAAACGTTAAATAAAGGTGTTTTGCTAAGATTCAAGATTTAAGAGTATATAATTAAATCTTCAAACCATAAGAATATTTTGACAAATTGATGTCTTAGTTCCCACTAAGAGTTGAAAAAACTTGTCCTTCTATTTTGTCGATTTAATTATATTTTTTCATGAATGTTATGTTTGCCTGTACCAACCAACGCAGCATGCAAACAGTTGTGAATAATATGTGACTACTTCAGTTGCAACAATTACATTCAAAGTTTTTATGAAGAAGGCGTTAATTGGTTTTTTCTACATCAGCGTGATCTTACTAATAATATAGCAAACCTGTGTCGCCCAGTGTATGAAAAGCCGGTGACATTATTCGTGATAAGCTAGAAGTACCGAGAACACAATTATTATATTACTTTCCTCAAATAAATATGACGTAATGATAATAAACCAAACATAATATAATAATACATTTTTAAAAAAAGACCGTAAAACCCTTTACAGCAAAAAATATTTAATATTAAATAGTTTATAGGACGCTCTTTCTCTTCTAACTTTAGTGAGAAGGTCACATTGATTACAGATAGTAACGGCCTTGAACAAAAAGTGGCACCCTGAGCACTTCACGTGCGGATCGTGCCGGCAACCCATCGAAGGCGCCAAGTTCCACCAGCACGACGGCGGAGTGCGCTGCGTGCCTTGCTACACCCGCCACCACAGCCCACGCTGCCACGCCTGCGGGGATCCTATCACTGACGTGAGCCACCACATCACCTATCACCCATTAAACACCTGACGCAGCGAATACAATAACTCACACTTGTAGGGTGATAAATCTACGCCAAAAGTCTTTACGGAATATTAAGTAATGATTCAGAGCGGGTTAGACGCTGGTTAATTATACCGGTTACCGTATTTTAATAAAATACAAAATACTTTGCGTAATGAAAATAATCATTTTCAATAATTCCTTAATTAAACATTTTATATATATATATATACAATAAATGAATGCAGTAAACTATGCCATGTATGCTTGTTACTGAGCTTCTCTAAGAAAAATATACATAATAACTGTTTTAACTTATATTTATTCAAAAAATGTCATATAATTAAATTGTTACGGTAGACAACGATGTAAACATATGAGTTATCTGACGCGAATATATTGCAACAAGTTCACGTTCAAGAACACGGCATATCTGTTCGTTTGCATCAGTAAGGAAATAATGGAGTAAGAAACAGCAAGGTCAAGGGATCATGCCTCATTTGGCAACAAAAGTGACATCACAGTATGCCTCAACAATACTCCCTATATCTTTAACCATATTTAGTAAACGTTCTATCAGACAGTTATGAAAAACCGAAAAATCAAAAGACATAAAAATAATGACATACAACTCCCACGACTCGTTATTTTGTTAAAATTATTTTGGAACAACACCGTGGGTTATCCAATGGTGATGATTCACACTTGCTCCATATATGGCTCATCGACGCGTCTCTTGTATAGACTTTTTGTACAGATTTGATTTGACTTATTCAAAAATATATAGAAGTGATTTTTTCTTCAACAGTTCAAATAAACAATAAACAACTTGTAATTATATAATCGATCTGTTTAGCTTGGTATACGAATCAAAATCAAGGAAATGAAAACGCGATTTTTCTCGGCCGTCCCCAGAGCGATGATGTCATGACGGGAAAACAATGGTGCTATTTATGTTCACAACATTCATATTAACTACTACTTTGATCATATTATGTCACATCCTAATGACCTTGTCACCGATCAAATGTAGTACATATTTTATTTATAGCGTTTAATTTGTTGAGTATAAAAACAAAGTTTAACGCATTATCAGTGATTATATACAACGTATGAGCAACTTACTTATTGGAGTCCTGGGTAGAGCATTACGCTGTAACTAGTACATACGTTGAACCTCTCTTATAGAAGACAAATCAACAATAATAATACATATAAATTAGCGATGACGATTCCATAACTGATTGTTAATGTTTTTGGTATTTACAGCGCGTGATTCAAGCACTGGGCGTATCCTGGCACGCGCACCACTTTGTCTGCGGTGGCTGCAGGAAGGAGTTGGGTGGAGGAGGTTTTATGGAACAGGTATTTGCTATTTTTGCCTTAAGGTGTGAAGGAGAGTAGAATTTAAATTATCACGTCAAATCTAACTACTATTAGTATGTAAGCACATTTGAAAGGTTACGACATCCTTTCATAAAATTATATATTTTTTAAAATTTATCATTCTCAGGCCGGGCGCGCATACTGCTCGTCGTGCTACGCGGACAAGTTCGCGGCCCGCTGCGCAGGCTGCACTCAGCCCATCGTTGACAAGGCAATTGTGGCGCTCGACGCTAAATGGCACCGTGACTGCTTTACGTGCAACGTATGATTCCAACAACTATTATACATTTAGTTTTTTCAAACAAATAGAAATAAGTTTAAGACAAAACTTGTGAACCACCACATAATAACATTGCACAGTCAAATAAGTAACATAAATTATAAAATAATTTGTCATTTTCAGAAATGCCGAAACCCAGTGACCGACTCCACATTCTCCGTCATGGACAACAAGCCACTCTGCGGGAAGTGCGCCTAAATCACAAAATAATATTTATTCTGTCATTTATCATATAGATTTTTATATATTCAAGAGCAATGCTGCACGGTTATAAGACACAGTGCTTTATTGTAATCTTAAATACTTGTACTACTATTACCATTTTTACTAAGTGAGAATCATGTATCAAGATATAAGCGATACATGTACGATTAACCTACGATTATAGACGTAGGGGCATACACAATAATCTATATTATATAATGCACGCAACCCAACGATTATTATACGCAGACTCACTGCCCGATCAAGCTATTTTAAAGTGCATTTTAAAATACAAACCTGTTAAGGTTAAAATTCCTATTTATCTTGGTGTGTAGTAAAATGACAGAAATCTATTTTTATATTAAAAAAACGTGCTCTCTCGTTCAGGTTTTGAATATATTCGGAATATACGCAAAGACATTGTAAATATATTTATTAAATATCATTAATTCACTGTGATGCTTTTGTGGGCTTTCATCATACAAATACTGCGTAAGACGCGTAGTTTGTGAACGCTTTTCGACATTTGTTTTCCAATAAACCACGTTTTTTATTTAAATTATTATTTTTTATTTTATTCGAATATCATACAAGATACATCATAATATGAACGATTATTGTCGTGATTAATTTGCTTTAAATGACTCTTTTACAGTAAGATTCGTTTCGCACAAATGTGTATATGTGAATAAAACTACATATTTGGACACAAATTCAATATGATTTTTATACGCAAAATTACTTAGCCATTGTTTATGGTCTTTAATCATTAGTTAACTTTAAGTGAATCAAATTACAGATACAACTTAGCCTGCAATACAATAATTTGAAAATAACTTACCCTTATGTCTCTGTCACTTCCATCTTCTTTCCTCGGTGTATCTCTAGTTTCTCCTTTTCTCGGTGTACCTTTACTCCCTTCTTTCCTCGGTGTGTCTCTAATCTCATCTTTTTTTGATGTATCTTTTATCTCTTCTTCCAACTCTTTCTCTCCTCCACCCATGTTCATAGTTCTGGGTGTGCGAGATGTTCTAAGTTTCTCGGGTGGTATAGGTTCTTCCTTGGTCACATTTTCTAATCGAGGTGTATTCCGCCGATTGATTTCTTTTCTAGGTGTGACTTGTTTCTTAGTTACAGTTAGATCACTACGAGGCGTAGAAATTTTTCGAGGAGTTTCCTTTTTAGGCGTTATCGTGCCCCTCCTCTGAGATTCATTAACTTTTGTAAGTGTGGCTGTATCTTTTTTAATCATCTCTGTTTCCTTTTTCGGTGTCTCTACTTCTTTTTTTGGAGTCTCAGTTTCTTGCAATTGTATCAACATCGGCACCTTAGTTGTCTCATGTGTTTCTTTACAGTCTAATTGTTTATCTAAAATAACAGATTGTTTCCCGGTTGATTTTGTAATGCTTCTTTTAGGTGACTTCGAGCTTCTTCTAGGAGTTTTTTCTTTCTTTAGCCTTTTGGCCACTTTTTTCGGTGACCTTGGAGATTCTTTACCTTTGGTAAGATCCTTTAAGGTCGGACTGGGCTCACGACTTATGTGACTTGAGGCACACTGGCAACACCAGAAATTAATTAAAAATTTATTTGCGATTCTATAATAAATTACAAAAAATAGTATTCCTATCGCAGGTGAAAACTGTAACATATTTAAATATCTAACTTTAAAACATATTAATATACTCACTGGTGCCACTGTTTCAACGAGAGTTGGAACATCCAGATCTTTGTCAATTTTTCTCTTCGGTTTGGGTGCTCCGGCTTGAGGGTCACGCATTAGCGGGCGTCGCGATCTTTGAACAAGAACATAAAATTCAGATCTTTAAATACATGGTAATAAAAACTTGACACATATTAATTAAATTACTTTATGACCGAAAGGCAAAAAAAAACAGAAGGTAATTAATATAGGTTTCTAAGAATTCCTTATTTATGACGCGCCTTATTAGTAACCACTAGTTGTAGGGGTATATTATATTTGTGCCAGCTATAACTAGCTTAAATAGAAATTGAGTTTGTTGTCAGTTTATGAAAAAAAACTAGACTGTGACAGTTACCTAGGACTCCGTTTTCGTCGCGGCACGTGGACAGTCTTTTCGATGGATCCTTTACTGCGTGCGCTCAGACTTCCACGCTTCTTTGATGTACCACTAAAATGGTAGAGTACCAACGTGATTCAGTTCACTAGTACTAAGTCAAAATATTTTTTTTAATGCCTATAATCTAAAAAAAATTATATATTTCTTGTGTGGTGTGTATGTGACTGAACTTCTCTCAAACGACTGCATTTTGATGAAATTTTTGTGTGTGTGTTCAGGGATCTGGGAATGGTTTAGATTCACATATCCCGGGGCCGGCAGATGGCACTGCAGTCGGTACTTTCATACTTTGCTTAATATCCTAATCGCTTTAAATATCATGCAGGACAACGTCTGTGGGGTCCACTGGTATATATATATAAATGTTTCCTTGAGTGAACTTTGAGAATTAACAATTATTGGAGGTCAAAACTATTCAGAAAGACAGATTGTAGTTTCGAGTTAAAAACCCAAACTACAGTTGTTTCGCTTTTACTTGCCTTATTTATGTAACAATTTAATCTTCAAAAGTGGGTTCTAACCCCCTCATACTAACCCCGAGTTGAGCTTCGAGCTGGACGCTTTAACGGTAGAAGGGTGTCGCAGGGTGTCCAACGAGTACATTGATAGTTGCCCCTCCGTATCTCCAACTGCGACAAATATATGTAAGCTATAAAAAACACGAGACGACGCATTGCAATGGTTTAGTTAAATTCAAATGCACGTATATAAATTGTATGGTTACATTGAACTTTTTTTCTCATTGTAGGTATAACCAAAAATTTATGAACAATATAAAAAAGGTCATATCAAAATAAGTTTTGATAAGAATTTTACTTTCCGAGAAATTTGTGGAAAAAATACGAAATTTAGCACACGTTCTTGGAAAAAAATAACTCCTCCAACCTAAAGTAAGGATCCTCGATAAGTCTCACCACTGACTGACCCGAAGTCCCCAGTGGCTAAGGTTGTAAGTTGTATATAATATCTTTAGCGGCCAGAAGCTTAGCTTTGTTAGCGCGTGTCAGGGTATGACGTCATCGCCAGTGGCGTAACAATAGGGTGGCAGGGCTGGCAAAATGCCACGGGCCACCTACCCAAGAAGGCCCCTGCCCAAGAGATATTATGTTCTATGGATGAATGTAAAGTCTCCAATACGCATCGGGCTAGCATGGGGACTACAGACCATTCCCTCTCGCCTAAGAAAGGAGGCCTATGGCCATTAGTGGGACATATACAGCGTGTAATTGAGTACTCTGATAATCGCGAAGTTTAGATAATAAAATTAAACTGAGTACAACGTTAAGATTTTTACTGATAGGGCCCCATCAAAAGAATTTGCCACGGGCCCCAGGTGGTATAGTTACGCTTCTGGTCATCGCAGTGATTGTAGCCATAGAATGTAGTTGTCGTGTACAAATTCTACAAGATCACATACATAGTTTTCATAATAATAACTTTTTTTTGAAGTTTCTTATAGACTTCATGAAGGATGAGTGAATAATTTACTTAAAGAAGATTTAATTAAAATTACTTCTAAAATGTCTCCATCAAAGATCGATATAAATTCTCTGGAACCAGACATACTGAAATCAGATATCTGACGCACCATAACAATCCTTAAGGATAACAAGGTCTGCCCCTTAGAGAGATGAATTAAGTGCGGAAGAACTAAAACACATTGGAGAAACAGGTGTTTTACATAGTCTTTGCAACGAGATGTGGCGTAAAGGATCGTGGGTAAAAGAATGGAAGGAATCTGTACTAGTTCCGATACACAAAAAGGATGCTACTAACTTATGTGAGAATTACAGAACCAAAAAAAGGTACAAGGGATCAAATCGCCAACATAACGCAAATAATCGAAAAAAGCCGAGAATTCAAACTGTACTGTACTGTGTGTATATGTGCGTCATTGACTATTCAAAAGCATTTGACTTCGTACACTAGGATCACTTGTGGAATATCTTTTCGGGAATGGTAGTTCTAATTCATCTAATTACCCTTATATCGTATCTATACCTCACCGGCACGTTGAGAGAATCAACCAAAACCAAAAACCACATATTTACAATCCATTTACGCCCGAAAGGGGAGTGGAGCAAAGCTGCATATTATCCCCATTATTGTTTTATATATATGGGGAATATATAATGCGGAGAGACTGAAGAATGGAGTATCCACTGGTGGAGTAAAAATCAGCAACCTTAGGCATGCCGACGACACCAACCTCTTGGTATCAAAGAAAGTGAGAAGTTTGGACTACACATAAATAAATCCAAAACTAAAGTTATGCTAATCGATAGATCAGGAAAACTCACACGCACTGGTGAACTGAAAGATAAAGAAATAGTAGACGAGTTCATATATTTTGGTTCACTGATCGTCAGTCAAAGAGGAAGCATAAACGAAATCTGATGAAGAACCCCGATGACCAAAGCTGCTACGACAAAACTATTGTGTTTATGGAAGGACCGGAACATTTCCTTAAAAACAAAGAAGAAATTGGTTTAGACTCTGGTATTTCTTATTTTCCTTTACGACAACACGGGCATCTGAAAGGAGAAAAATAGATGCTCTGGAAATGAGGTGTTGGAGGCGGATAGTAAGGAGCTAAGGAAACAAACATGTCCATGTAAGACGTTTACAGGTAAAAAATCGTCTTTCGACACTTTGTTACCAACGCATCTTGATTTTTTTGGACACGCAGAGATCCAGAATGTCTAGAAAAACTCATCGTGACTGGCAGAGTCGAGAGCACCAGACCTCGAGGCGGATCCCCTACTCGCTGTACTGATTAAGTAAAGGCCCTTACGGGTCTTACTACATAGGCGCAGAGGCTTGTCGAAGATAGGGGAGAGTGCGGAAGTTGTGCGGCGCCTAACACGACCTTCAGCAATGAAGAGTGCGACTGAAGAAGATAGACTTCATAATCGAGTGACAGAGATTATTAGTGTGGTAAAAGAGACTCACATGATTTGCCAGACTTGGAACACGATCCAATCGATTTTCTTCCTCGCCTTGACTTCTTGGAACGGCGAGAATATGACATGCTCTGATAAAAGCAAGAATACCGTTAATTGGTCTTAACGTGACTTAAGTTAACTTAATTGTTATTAGGTAATAGTTTTATTATTATCTTAATTCTTCGTGTACTCTTAAGATTTTTTAGACTATGTGCAATAAAGTAAAATATGTAATACTGTTCATTAATGGAATTTTGTGGACATTACGGTCTTTTTATGACAACATAATATGGCAGAAATATTTTAATGGCTTTTTAACGTTATTTTAAATTGTATAATGTATTCATGGAATTTCGTGGACAATATGGTTATATTACGGACATAAGGTATGACCAAATTACATAGTACATACGGTATTATCAGTGCTATTTAAATATTCAGTCATCCTAATTGTGTAATCTTCGACAGCATTCAACAATTTATCATTGGCACTCAGCAAACCCTGGAAAACATTGATATTTCATTAGAGATTTCCTTCACAACTAAGACTAAAATTGTTATTTTTATTTCATAAACTCACTATGTCTGATTTAAGAAAAAACTAGTGGCGCAACAACCTTTAAGGTTGGACCTTAGATTTCTGTAGCAAGTAGGTGATCAGGATTCTGTCGCCGAATTAATGGGTCTAAGGCCGTACGAGCAACTGTTAAATGCGCACATAAACAGAAATAACATTGGTGCACAGCCGGGGTTCGAACCTATCACCTAAGGGATGACAAGTCTGATTTAAGGTAGCTTAGAGCAAAACGGTTTTTAGTATTACTTTTGACTTCCATTTGAACATGTCATCTATGGTATAATTATTTAAATATTTATTAAATTAAACTGTAAAAATCTTAATAAACCAAAATAAACATGTATTTCAGACATTTCAGTTTTGTTCTAATACACATCAAATATTAGCAAATGTTACGATCTACTTTTAACTATGTACAAATGCTAGGTTTGGCAAATACATGATTTTATCCTGGCTATTATTAAAAACTTATGTCAAATTATTTGCTGAAAAAGCATTCGTTATGCGTACATCATTATAAAGGCGATTTGCGGCGACCAGCGCGGGCGGGGCAGTGAGGGCAGAACACACGTTCGTGACCTCATGCATCATACACGCTAGGGACCTTAGCGCCACACCGCTCTCACGGATACAAAGCGTTTGCGGAAAAGACTTCATGAACACCTAAAGATTAAGTAGAAATATTATTTCAGATGACCGTTAATGGTTACTGTGCTAAAGAACTAACGTGGGTTGTTGCCAGTCTTTTAAGAATTGGTACGCTCTTTTCTTGAAGGACCCTAGGTCGAATTGGTTCGTAAACTTGTGGGTAGCTTGGAACTTGTTGGTGTGCGGCAAAAACTGTCTTAAATAACGCTGTTGTGGAACGACGGACGTCAAGGTGATACCGGTGGAATTTCCTATTCTGCTTCAACGTCCGATGATGAAACTCAGCTGCAGGTGTGCTTCCATACAAATCCTCTGAATACTTATTAAGGCGAAATTAAAGGCCCCTCAAGCTGAATGAAATTATCATGAATGATGACATTAACATTTATTCTTGTTAAACATTAATGATATAATTTTATTACTTTAAGAGCCCAGGGGCTTGAGACAAAATCACGACAGGCGTGACCACTATCGCCAAACGAATTTGTATGGAAATGGTCACGTGACAAAGCGTAAGCTAATGTAATTTTCATACAAATTCCTTTGGCGGTATTAGGATCTATTGACATAACTTATCTACCGACATCTTTATTAACTATTTAAATACTTTATTATATATTTATAAGAAATTTATTTCTAAAGCAATCTTAATGCAATTAACTTGGCAAAGGCAATGTCACAGCCTATTTATGTGTTCCATAACATTTGCATATCAACAGTGTAGAAAATAAATGATTAAATTAGACAATTTCAGTTTTTGACAGCTTGCACGATAATCTTTTCATTTGATAAATTTTTACATGTGAAAGGTCTTATACATTGTCTGTTTTCTAAACTTAGTTGTCTTTCTATGTATATCTCTAATCTACAAAAGTTATATTAGACTAATTAGAATTATTAGTGTACCTGAAGTGAATGCAGTGCGTTCTGATGTAGCGACACAATTCTCACCAGCTGAGTTTGAAATTGCGTGTGCTTTGCGAACGGCATCGCTTGTGAATCGTTTCTTTTTATATCTTGCAACTGAAAATATGATTTGACGCATTCATTTCATTCACATATCTCGACGAATGTAATAAATTTCCGATTATTAACATGTTTTGTATAGTAGTTGCGTAAACCAAAGTCAATCTTAATATATATATTTCTTCTGTGCGTGTGTATGTGACTGAACTCCTCTCAAACGACTGGACCGATTTTGATGAAATTTTTTGTGTGTGTTCAAGGGGATCTGGGAATGGTTTAGATTCACAAATCAGCCCGGCAGATGGCACTGCAGTCGGTACTTTCATACTTTGCTTAATATCCTAATCGCTTTAAATATCATGCAGGACAACGTCTGTGGGGTCCACTAGTATTATATAAATACGTTAATTCAGTGCGTCTGTTTATGGTAAAGTATAATTTCATCCCTTGAATTAGATAAAATTTATAATTCAATGTCAATATCGAAGACACGTTAGGTATATAAAATATTCCGTACACTTCTTAATATTTAAAAAATATTATAAAATGCAAACGCGGTCTTATCGCTAATATTCTCTTTCAATAAAATCTTTTTAATGTAATTCATTTTTAATGACAAAACTTATAATTCAGTGTTACTATTAAGGACGTAAATGTACGATTAAAGTACTTACAAACATCCTAACTAACATATTTGTTTATAAACTTTTGTTTAAAAAAAATCGCGCGGTTTTATCGCAAATATTATCTTTAAATAAAAGATCTGTTACTGAGGAAAACATTATACCTGTCTCTGTAGCTGGTATATGTTAATTCTGTTAAACCGCGACGTGAATTCAACGGAGCGTCTCATCATTTTCGGTAAATCCGCCGGGTCAATGTTCAATATGTTCTGTCTCTCAAGGACTAAACTACAATAATTGTATTTAACGGTTACACATTTATAAAGATAATATGTTTATTTAAAATATGAGTGTAATATAAGTTTTTAGAAGCGAATTAATGAATAAATATAATTATTGCATGTTGTAATAGAATCAATCAATCATATTACGACAAGCGTGACCCAGTACCCACTACCAGCAAAGGAATTTGTAATTTTGTATGAGAATCCCATTAGCTCGCAGCTTGATTTTGTCTCAAAACAAAACAGACAAAGACAAAGTAAATTGTCTTTGAAACAGACAATGCCTTATTCATCTTTACTTTACATAGACTAGGTGGCGCTCAACTCAATATTGTAAAGAAAGCATATCTTTAAATTATTACGTCATCTCGTCCAATTGGGCAGCCAGTTTTGTGCGCAGCTCCTTGACTTTTGCGCAGTAGATGCTGCTCTCGATCATACTAGTCACGTTTTCAGATGACTTCGTGCCTAATTAAATGTTTTACGTTACTCACACAACTAATTTCAAATATAATATCAGTGGGACTTGAAAATGCTATAAAATATATATTTATATACAATCGTATAACGAAATACGAAACAAAAGATGACGCATACAGTTTCATACTAAACTTATTATTAAATCATGGCATAAAATGCATAGAAGAAAAGTACGTGTATTGTTTTGACTTTGACTTTGACGGGTAACTGACCTATAATAATAGAGTGGGATGCATTAAAAAGGTTACATACTGGAGTCTTTATCAGGGCTGGGATATCGGGAGCCCGGGCTAGGGGAGAGACGTTCCCGCACGGTGCACGGTGGACTCATTGAGTCGTTTAGCAGTTCGTCCTCCGGACCTGATACACCTGTAATACATTTTATATATTCTTATATAAAAAAATACGAATCAGAAATTTCAAACAATAACAAATATATTATAACAGTTTTTCTATAGCTTATAATGTGTTGGCATACTTTTTTAAACTTCGACAAGGCGTATCTGCAAGGCAAAATGTTCACCAAGAAGATTCCATCGTTCTACATTTTCTTTAATTAATTTCAAGACTATTGTATAGTGATAGCGCCATATTAAGGACAAAACAGTAGTTAATAATAAGAAAAACCCATTATAATCAATATTAATATGTATGAGTTATATTTAATTTTCTGACAATAAAGACCTAAGTGGCGGCGTCCATGCGTCAGGTTGTCTCTCTCCCTAAAATATGGCGAGGGGGCCGATGGCTGGCCATGCGTCATACTCGTGAACGGGTGCTACTTGTGGTGCTGGTGTTGAATTGTGTATGGGTGATGTTAATATTTCGACTAGTTTTGGGTTGTTCGAGAATGTAGTGGTGCTCTATTCACCATGCTCCTGTGATAGGGGACAAGTCTTTGTTTTTATTTATGTTATTATTATTAATTAATTAAAATGTCATGTGGAACATGGTGAATGGGTCACAAAAGTTGTGTAAAAAAAAAAGGCGATTAAAAAGAGTGGCGGAGAGTTATTGCCAGTCTTTCCATTATTTGAGAATGGCAGTAAATGTAAAATTAGAAGATAATATTTATTTCTTTAACGACGAATACAAGTGTAAGTTTATGACAATAAAGATTTATAAACACACTTATTAAATTATTCCCGCATCAATCATTAACACTGATTAAAGAGTAGGTACCTTAAATGTTTTTTGTTTTTTATTACATCAATACAATTTGCGACATTTGAAAGTGATATCATAATGGCTTTGATGTCATAATATATCGAACGTCATAAAATTACGTTCAAACTCATCCAATATTTTAAGTAAGAATAAAAAGTAGAACAATCCACGAAATTTAATTAGGTACAAATTTAAGAATGGCGCCAAAGCAAAAGTAACTAGCGCATGCGCTAAACAACCACACAAGTAACAGATCATAACAGATAACAAATAAATGGAAAAAATAATGTCTAATTTTACTTTCATAAGGTAAACAAAACAAAAACCATATTGACGTAAACTGTCATAGTTGTTGTCACTTCACTACTGAATTTCATATAAAATTTTTACTCTTAATCTGTTTTTTTTTATTTGAAAAAAATTACGAGCTAAATAACATGAGAAATGATATCAAAACTTTATAGATATATTTTTTTATCACTACATTAATTTATTATGTTCTAATATAACTGTGTCTGTGTGTTAAATTTGTAATATCATATTTTTCTGTATTTTGTAAGCAAGCATACTTTTTGAGAACTCACAAATAAATAGAATTATTAAATATACCTGACACATCTTTCTCATCATCAAATATGTGAAACGATTCGTTTTCTCTATCTGACTCATTAATAAATACCACATGATGGTTATCATTCTGTTGCGGAGCGCCTTGTTCATCTTTCTTTGGCGATACCTCTCTCGCCTGGAATATATAGTCGTAATAATTACTAATGCCACTTGCCAAAAAAATATAAATAATAATATATTATGAATTAGACTAAATTGTAGGTTAAGAAGACACTTGGTGTCGTCATGTCTTTTGTCAATTCTCGGAAACCTTAGTGGGACAAAATTCAACGATTAACGGACACTAATTATACTTCTTAAAAACCAAAGGATCAAAAGCGAATCAATCTCTGCCTTTTATATTAAGACATGTTCTTGAGGGGTAAAACAGACTGTATGGGCTTGCTTCTGGAATTGCTTAGAATGTATGTGCCTTAAAAGTATTTCAGGTCCCACAGGCATGCCGTGTGTATGCCGAGCTCCACGATAAGCTCACGAAATGTCCTCCGTCAGGAGCCACCGATTCCGCTTAGAAACCGCTTAGGCTCAATTCTGCACCAGAACTGGATATGGTTGTTACAGATTTATGTTTTAGTAGATTTTTTTTAAGTAGTTTAAGGTAGTATGTAAGTACGTATATGTATAATCTAATTATTATTGTTTGACATATATGCTGTAAAAAAATAAGTGAATGTTTATTTCTTTAATGCTTGTCTAAAATAAAAACTAAGTCGTCTAGAGCGTTTTTGGACTTTTAATAAATAAAGTATAATACCTGTATTTCTTCCTCCAACCTTTCCTTCTTCATCTTTTCCAATTCAATGTCTAGAAGTTCTTTTATTTTCTCTTCGGACAGTTGTTCAATAAATTGATACGGATCATCTGGAAAAGCAGTATAATCATTAAAACAGTCAATATATTTGCGTAACAAAATTGGCCAGGTTTTTATATATTCTTCTGACTGACTATGGTTAAATTTAAAAATATTGGCTAGTTATCGAAACAAACAACTGCAAGGACACTTTCAAGTTTTAATCAAAGTAAATACCCTTGCAAATGTTAGTTACGACATCCTGCTCCTGCACAAACTCCTCCCAAATCTTTTGTTCCTGCTGCTTCAGGCGCTCACGTCGGTTCACTTTCCATGTTTGGTCTAACGCCTCGCTATCGACCAACTGAAAATGTCAAGACTATACTAATTCAAATTTTTCCTGTATTACTACAGCTACACTTATAAAAATAATATCTGCACGCAATACATAAAAGCCCAAAACGGAATAGGCATTTAAACAAAAAACATAAAACACAATTGACATATATTATAGAAAAAAGACAATAATGTATTTTTTTTTACTATGAAACACGTACGTCCGAATTATAAGATGCATTGCTTAATATAAATGAGAGTTAACAAAAGATTTTTGTTGATAGTTTTAATACTACTTTCTTAAATTTTATAATTTGTTTAAAAAGACGCCTCCATATACGATCATAACGACATAAAGGTAACATTTTATTAGTTTTCTTTAATTTGAGAGATATTTTTACGTTTCTGTAACATCATTTCCAAAAACCTTGTTTTCCGTGATTCTTATCCCATCGCTTAAGGCGTTTAATAAGACGTCATATATATGTAGTTACGAGCAAATCGAAACGAACGCGCCGCGACCAAAATCAAAATAGAAAATAGACTAACCTTAAGCTCATATGATTCTTGCTTTTCAGGCATAAAACAGAATCCACGAACGCACGCCTCCATCAGTAATTAATTATAAACACACAAAAAATATATGCTCCTAGTCTGATAGTAAAGTCTCATAAGTAAAAGGAAAATGTCAAAGTATATAAATTGAAATAGAAATTCTAAAACTGCATTAAGGTAAATCGTAAAAATATCTATGGACTAAGACAGAGAATTGGCGTACGAATATATATTTTTATTTCTGAACAGTAATTAGCAGTTTGTATTTGGCTTGTGTATAGGCTGCGGTTGCTTAGCAACACATGTTGTCATAGCAACCATGAATTAACTATTAGCGTATCTAAAGTAGACACCAACGGTTTTTTTTATTATAAAATAATCAAAGCACCGATTCGTATTCTTTACTAGTGAAATATTAAGTAAAATATAAAAAATAAAATAAAATATGTTTATTATGGCACATAAGATACATGTATCACTTATTCCACGTCATTAAATTTGAAGGCATCCCTACTCATCGGCAAAGAAGACAGAGGGTGTAGGCCGAGAGAAAAAGCCGGCGTAAAAAACTCTCGGTACTCTTTTAAAACAGCAAATCATCAAACAACACTTATTTAAAACAAATATCGCAAATTGATTAGAAGTAGCCTGTCTAGCACTAGTCCCAGGCCCTTTTATCAACTAGATAATCGTTGACTTTATAGTAAGCCTTTTTACACAGCTTTTCTTTAATACATTTCTTAAATTTATTGAAAGGCAGTGATAAAAGAGCCTCTGGGATTTTATTAAAGAAGAGTATCCCTTTCCCCAAAAAAGAATTACTAACTTTAGATAGTCTAGTACGGGGAAATTGCAGCCTGCGTTTGTTCCGTGTATTAACATTAACATTAAGTTTAAAATGTAAATACATATCTATAACAGTAGATTCATATGACGTTAACATCACATCCACTTAGTATTATCTATGAAATCGCCGTGTGGCCACAGAATGAGAAATTTTAGCTATACGTATACAGGCACAGTAAAATACTGTATAAAAAGCTACATTAAAGGAAAGATTTATTGCCTCTTACTTTCTTATTGACATGAATAAAAAAGTAATTGTTCCTTAATAATAATTAAATTAGAAATTAGCATTCTTAGTTATATCATTCTATATTATAATTTAGATGTATTTTTATAAATAAATCAGCGGCGCTACAAACTTTTTAGGACTGGGCTTATGATTTCTGTATCATTTTCATGATAATTTGTCAATCTAATTAGCAAGTAGGTAATCAGCCTTCTGTGCCTGACACACAGGACTTTTTAGGTCTAGGGAAAGCCGGTTTCCTCACGATGTTTTCCTTCACCGTTCGAGCGAATGTTAAATGCGCACATAGAAAGTCCAAGAAAGAGGCACGGTGAAGCCGCTAGGCAGAATTTAAGAAATTTTTTTCTTTAAATAAGATAAGTATTTTCGTATATTATGCAATAATGTGTGTAGTATTCATAATAAATTTCTTAATAAACAGCGTGATTGGTTTTGATCCATCAGGGATACTATTTGCGTTCGATACTAGAACAGTAAAATGTATTCATATTATTATATAAATCAGATATATTGAATCATGCGATTTATTGAAGTTATACTTCTTTAGGCACGTTATAAAAAATTTATGAGAGTGAAATTTTACGATGCGCGCGCACCGTGACACAAAGTTGTCATTGTGATTATAGCGTGCGCGAGCGAGATGGGACAATCTACAAGTAAAAAGAAATAGAATATGCGTGAAGTTAGCAGCTATGCCAAGAATTTTGAATGAACATAATGACATTTACCTTTTAAACAAATAAAGGTGTTTTAATTATTTTTTCAAAGAAATTTAGCAATGCTTTTTCACAAAGACCTATTGTTACTTAGTTAAAAGGTTATGAAACATACGTAGTTATTAAATTGAATGAATATTATTATAAAAATAAAAAAAATATTATTATTATTATTAATTAATAATTGAATAATATACTATATATTAAATATTATTAAATTATTAACGTTAAATATTTGTTATTAATTATTTAATATTTTTAAAAAATTAAGAAAGCCAAAGAAGTATAACTTCTTACGCGCGTATAAGTAAGTACATTCACCCTTTTTTATTGGATAATAAGTAATAACGCTCATAGTGAATCTTTCGGCCGTCGAACCGTCAGTTGTTCTGGTTAATTCCCCGGATTCAGACTCTATAAAATCACACTAAACACCACCCTGCTTCAAGGAAGGCAAAAAAAATGTATTTAATAAATAGGGATTCAACTTACTAAATATAATAAATAGTCTGTGATACCTATTTACGTGTATGTAATTGCTAAAAAAAACCTTTATATTCGTGAAATGTTTACAAAAACTATTCAATCTTTTGTTCGAAGCATCACCTATGTAGTACCTAGAAAATAAATGAACGTGACAAACATTTAACTAATAGCTTATAGAATGTTTATAAAAAAGACCATTAAAATTTCCTTAACAAAATACGTCTATAATGTATACATACAAGGTGGCAATAATTTAATATTTTAAATATTGACTTAAAATGATTATTTATTTTTGAACTTTACAAAAAAATATATAAAACTGTCTTCAGCGAGCGCCTACTACTGTTAATAAGTTCTCCAGCTCCTCTCGAAAGATTGGCAGACAATGCAGCCGCATACTCAAATCAAAATCGTATTAATTAATGATACTGAAAATTAAGCGATTACCAAGTTAACTCGATCCCCTGGCACCGCGCCATGCAGTGACAAGATCTGTGAGTCAGCACTACACCCGGTGTGCGGCTGCGCGATCAATACCGTCCCCCCGCCCCTCGCACCCTATTACCTGAAAACCCACCTCGAAAACCCTATAAAACCAAAAAAAACGTGAATTTCGCGTCGTGTTAGTATCTGACAAAGTTCACGGTCAAAATACTATTTGTGAATACTAGAATTTTTAGGATTACGCGTATTACTTGCAAATGTCGAATCGCTCTCTCCGCGAACGCGCGTGTGCTAACTCCGGTGCATTTTCTTAGTGTACAGTGCACATACGATGGCCTCGAAGGTACTCGTGCCTGGAGTGCCCTTCGCTTCGCTCCAGGGAAAGGTATTTAGTCGATATATTTACATATATCTTAAGTATAATATGCAAAATATTTGGAAGTTGTAATAGGTTTAAACAATCGCGGTCAAATTTATCATAACGCGGAAGGAACTGGTTACAAATGGGTTTGACAAGATATGATATAAATTGAATTAAAGTTTGTGAATCGTTGTAAATGCAACAATATTTAGTGGATATTTTTAGTAAAAATGATTATTTGTAACGTTATGTTTGCTCAAGTCAGGACAAAATAACAATGACTAGCAAACACTAAAACAGCTTAGGTCATATCAAGACAAAACAAAGGACAATCGTGAGTCAGTGATTGTGAAGGATTTCATTACTCGTTGTGTATTTGCAAGGTATTGTGTTGTACCTAGTTGTACTAACCGCGATAGTGTTATTAGAATTTGATCGATGCGACTTCGTCTACCTGGAACTAGAATTTGAAATATGCTATATTGTCTAAAATTACCATAGACAAAAATGATCAAGATCAGTAGTTTAAGTGTAGACAACATATGTTGTACAAAGATGTGTATATTTTTATTTTTTTATATAGTTATTTAACTGACTATAGACAGTTTTTACTCTAGTTTTGAATTAAAATGACTAAATATAATTTCAGGTGAAAAAGACACCTGTAGAGCCAAATGGCGGGCTGTACATCAGTGGAGGCGACCCGGTCGCGAGGATCGCCCACCTCGAGCACAGCATTCGGTTCCTGCAGGAACAACACCGTCTGATGCTCAGTGGCCTTCACGCCGAAATCGAGTCATTGCGAGAGAGAAATAGAGGTTGACTCACCTATATTGAGAAATTATAATTTTGCTTACAATTACTTTTTAAATAATAACGATAACGTATTTTTCAGACTTACAATTTCAACTGATATTCAACAAAGAGCCTGCGAAAAATACCTCGACTACTGATGACAACGAAAACCAGGTAAGATCCAAAAAATATTATTAATTTATTTGAGGTAATATAGTTTGTCGTGATCAGATAAATATTTACGGGACAGTTTTAACTCTAGTCTGATAAAGAGCTGCAAAATTCAGCCTTAATTAAGATTTTATCTTTTGTATTACAAACGATTTTAATTTATTTCTTGATAATAGTTTTAATTGAGGTTTCGTTATATCTTAAAATTTCCTCCTTTAGCCTTGAAGGTACAAACTCTTTATAATTGATATTTTTTATACCATTTAAAAATAATACAGCAATAGTAATAAATGCAACATGTTAGGTGTCATCTCTGCGACGAGAGGTAGAGCGGTTGGAAAGGGAGGCAGCAGAAGCGCGAGGTGAGGCTACAGCCTGCACCCACGACTTACTGCGGCTGCAACGCCTTGTCGACGAACAGGCCAAGTATGCCTCTTCATACAATCTTTCTAAATCTCATTTCGTTCCTTGGACAGTAGACTCTGACAAATAGAAACTAATTTTTACAACGTTGCAAGCAAACGTTCCGTTGTTTTTTATATTGATATGCAAAATATTTATCCCGCCATCTATACCTTATTCTGTTCTGAAATTGTCATATCTAGTAGATTTTATTAGTATCTTATAGCTTCGTGGAGTTAGTTGTAATACATTGTGTAATGCCAGCAAGCTGCGGTCTCTAGAGGAGGAAGCAACGGAAAATGAGGAAGGAGAAAGCGCTGGGGCTCTACGCGCGCGGCTGGGCGAAGCAGAGCGGCTGGTCCGGCGGCTTCGAGCGGACGCCGAGCGGCAGCGCAGAGAGGTACACGGGGGCGCGGGCGTCACCAACCTACTGTTCGACGGCGCGCCCGCACACCACGCGCACGTACGTTCGCGACCGCCACTCGCCGGGCCTTATACAGCTAGTGATAGTCATGGTCTTGCCGCCGGGAACGCAAATACGATTAAAAGAAAACTTTGATTAAAACGCGTTTATCTTAGGTTAGAATTATTTGTTAAATTTTAATTCATCAAAGTTTATTTTAATCCTTTTAAAAATACCCCAACATGTTACATTTAACACGTAAATACCATGAGTACCTTATATTACAAAGAAATTATTTATGTTGAATTTAAAATTACCAAATCATCCATCTCTCTAAACTTTCGTAAAATTAATACAAATTTAAATTCCTTAAATTACTGTAAAATTAAACACGTTTTAATCGAAATTGAATTTTCTTTTAAATGTGATATACGCATAACGATTTAATCGTATGTAACAATTTTGATTCCTCCTGTGACATATCGCTCATATCTATAAGCTAATACGTACTTACCTAATTACAATTTGTGGCTAATACTAGGCAAATGGCAGGGCGAAGGCAGAGTAGGTGGAGCGAGCCCTTCACAAACTATCGTTTTGTGTGCGAGTCGCCTAACAAATCACCAAATTTCATGATTGTTCTGTTAGCGCTATATTGGAGTCATGAATTTTGCTGGTTTCTATAAATATAACAACCGATCAGTCGTTACCTTCCTTGACTCTAGTTAGTCTTTTTGTGTATTCTTTAGACCCTTCGTGACTGTCGTATTACTTAGGTGTCGATGTTTCCTTAATCTTGCAGTAGTAACATTTATTTAGAAAGATGTATCCATTTGAAGTTATTATAGTCCTGAAACCGGGTAAATCAATGAAAAGACTATAAAAGTAACATAAAAACTAGTTTCTAAATCTTCTAATTCGTAACCGCAGTTTTTAACTTTGAATAGCTATTTAATTTTGTATACTTATCGCTGAGTGTAAACTGTAAAGGTTCAGAACATTATTTTAACTTAAAGTTATAGGTTGTAAAGGTTTAGGTATATTTATGAATAAGACCATATATTTGTACGTAATATGGAACTTTGAGATTCCACTTCATTGATTTACTCTTTTGAATCACCGATGCACGATTTTGCGTACCTAACTGTAGCATTAAATTGTAATTTGTATGATGTGATGTTAGCCCATAGAAAAATCAGTTTTAGAATGTTCTTAAGTTACACGAAATTCATACCAATATAAATTATACTATTCGTTAATACCATACTTGTCTGCTCCAATATTATTTGATTAACAACGTAATAGACGTGACAGGTGGTGTTAAAATGTTCTACATACAGTTGCAGTGCATGAAAAGCTCACTGATGCGCGCGGGCGCAGTTGACGCATTTGGCTTTCCTACCTTGCCAGCCCCATACCTCCATACAGCAGATTTTTGGAGAGAGCCTTTGAGAGAGTAAGTGAAGATTTACTATGAATCTCTTCACATGCCTGAAGAGTAGATGATATAAACTACCGAGAGTACCGGATACAGAGAGTACTAAAGCTTACAGAAACTTGGAATATAATCCGTGTTTTGTACCCAGAGAGTACAGCATGCGAGGCGGCGGACGACAACGACGACCCAATACACTTCCAGCACTCGCTGTCCTCCCACAGCAGCCACGCCCACCCGCGTATGCTCACAGTAAGTTATTTACATCAACTGTAATTATTTTAACACGTATGTAAATACGTATTCAGAATAATCCTCCTTTAAATGTTTGAACATTGATTTAAATGAAATTAAGTACAAAAAAAGAGTCACTGGTACCTAATGATAAAACTACATTACTAGGTAGGTACCCTATGATAGAAAAAGCAGTACTATATTAAGCGAATAACTGAAAATACGTTAAACACCTTACCTCACAAAGAGTTATACCTTATATATGAAACAGATGCAAAAATGTATCTGTGCCGACATTTAGGACCTAAGGCTATTTCACAGATTTGCGAGCGCGGGGATATACAGAAAGAGTAAAAAAGTCACAAACACTGAACGGAGAGTCCTATACTGGAAAGAGCCCGGAAGAGACAGGTAACAAACCATAAGATAAATAAATATTAAGGTAGGTACTGTTTACCTATTATTACTGAGTGACCGAGAAGACACTTCAATAACTTATTGCTATAGAAACAAATGTTCTATATTTTTATTTCATTAGAAATTAAAATTCTATGTAATATAGACGTTTAGGTATATGCCGAGATGATCGCCTGTATAAGTCATTGACACTAGTTACAGCTATACTCGTCCGTCTGAATTGCACTAGCCATTATTATTGCACTTTTCCGTTTATTTTTTTTTATTTATTCGATTTCAGATCAACCACGAATAAATCCAGTTATAACAGATAATTTACAGAAAATCAACCCTGAGGCCACATATCCCGAATTAAAAATTGTGGTCACTAAAATAATTCCGCACGGAAATGGTGAGAATGGGGTTCTAAGTTCTTGAATATTCCATAATCCAAATAACATAATACATATAAACATGTATACTAACAAAAGTTATCTTCTTATCGTAACAACAATTTCTCATCATGAAAAAAATACGCAGGAGGCCGGTTGTAAAAGCAAGAAATACGAAAATTTTGTTTGAATCATATTTATGCGCTTCGTAGACGCGTCTACGGTCTGTAGACCAATCACAATAAAGTGAGCGTCCGTTTTATAGTACATTTAGTTTTGTAATGGAAACGGCCTTGCTCTAAGGGCTATTTTGGGGGGCAGTACGAAAAGCCCCCCCCCCCCCCCCCCCCCCCCCCCCCCCCCCCCCCCCCCAAAAACGGGGGGGGAGCCCAAGGGGAAAAGAATGTATGTTCTCACTAAACAAGGGCCATTTCATTTTAATCGATTCATCCTGTTACTAGTGTTCTCACTAAAAGCTCTTGTAGGCAAGACTTGCAATATACTTAATTTGGTCTTTCGTCCTTTGGTGTAATAGCATTTTTAGTTAGTTTAAAAGTTTTTCTGATAAATTGCCAAATTTAATAAAAATTAGATTTAGACATCTGCCTTAAAATGCTGAATTTCCTTATTAATGGTTTCAGTTAACACATCGTCGTCGCTAACGGGCGCGCGGCCGCGAGCTCGTCGCACGCACCGCAAACACGCATCCGAGCACACGTAATGCAACGGAGCGCACTCTCACAAATATATATATTGTTTATCCTTGGTGAAAGTATGAAACTTGAACGTTTGACAAAGTGCTGCCAAATTTTAAAACGTGTTAGCTTTATAAGGGGTTATTTTTTGTCAGTAATTGAGAATGCCTTTTCGCAAGTACAGCACTGATATGGAATTCAAGACTAAAAATGTAACCATTATTTCATTGTTTGTAATTTTTCTTTATCTGATTCCATTTTAGTGGCGTGACAGCTAGAGGCCCTTCCAAATATCCTTCCATTCGAAGCTCTATTGAATTTAAAACATTATCCATATCCGAACAACATCTTGAGAAATATATACCTACCTATATGTTAAGTCATAGTAATATACTACTATGTATATTTTACGGGGAACATATTGTATTGCATTAAACATAAAATAAAACGAAAACATAAAATTTAGACGCTTGGAACGCGTTGGGAATACCCTTATATTCACATTAAGTTGCTCTGTGGTCTGAGTAATACAATTATGTAAAATAGTGTATAAATAGGCTGTGATTTGTATCTACTTATATAAAAACACGTACTTGTTATTCCAATACGTAGTGAGTGATCAATATAACGTAGTAACTGCACAAATAACACGGTTTCAACACACGTTTTTATTATATTAAATTAGAGATTGAAGTCAATTGACACCAGTTTTAATAAACGTTTTATCAATAATTGTATTTATAAGTAGACTGAAGTAGATAATAATGCAATTGGCGAGTTATTGAAAGGAAAAAGTCACTGTCAGGAAATAAAAAATGTCGTTAGATGGCCACTCTAGCTCTTATGAAGTCAATAGCAAAATAGATGGTATGTAACTGTGATTTGATTATTATGTGTGCCTCACGGAAGCAATATAATTTTGAATACGTCGCACTCCATCACACATTGTAATCGTCCTGTGCATTTTGCTGTAGTTTTTGCGCAAGGCACCGCCTTATAATATATACCTACTTAATAATGTTATATACCCTCTAAAGTATTAGGACAATTTCATATATATTTCCATTTTAATTCGATAGTAATACCAAAATATATTATTAGTATTAATCTACGCTCCAAACAATAATTTTACGTATTTATAAACACTATGGAATATGGATGAACATTAGTTAACCATCATAGTAATAGTATCAATGACGTTGTATAAAGCTAGTCTTCTATTTAGCTGCATTTGTGAGAGTGTTGACGTAATCTAAACACTATTCTGTAGCCTTATTTCATAATAATATCGTAATTAATTATTAATTACTTATATAATAAATGAATTATATTTACTGTCGCACTGTTGTTTTACTAACAACACAATCCTATACAAAATAGCGCCATAATTAGACTATGCCATAGAGTAAAAGCGGGCATGCGCTTTGAAAATATAATCGTACCATTTCAAATTTAAATATTTTTGTGTATTCATAATTCAAATGTTAAGATACGATACGTATTTTGTTAATGCACTCGCAAACGAATGTAATCTTTGATATAATACAACCCCAATATATTAAACTAGCAAATATGGGGAGTTGGTATTATTTCGAAAATACATTTTGTTTATTCAAATATCATGGATCTTCTGTATGCCTCTGCTATTATTCAAAATCTGGGTAAAAAATATACATATATATGCTTATTACTCATTTTTGTATATTAAAAAAAAAATAACATAACATTTTTAATTACAATCAGCTATTAAAGTGAAAAACTCATTATCTTTACAGGTATTATAAATGTTACCAAACAACCACAGTAGTGAATTATTTACAAATGAATTCTCAATAAATAATACTTTTTTGCATAAACCACTTGCATTTTTTTTTATAACAAAGTCTAAAATGTATTCAAATATTTTTTCATTTGTATTTGCTAAGGTCCTGCAAATATACACTAACTCACAACATGGTTGTGCCTCTTCACATAATAGATATTCCTCCATGTATTTAATCAAATTCTTTAACAGAAATAAAATAATATCTTCTGTTAACATTTCAGTGAAATATTCATGACAAGAAAGTATAAAGAAAACTTGGCATGACTCTGTATTTTGCTGGAACTTTGACAGTGCTTGAATGATAGAACGCAGATCACTTACCCTAAAATAGAGATTTTTTAATACATTACTACTGTATGTTTGATTACAGATAAATCTAATATAAAATTAATATATAACATTACTATAGTATCTACTATATATCTAGAAAAATAACATACTTTAACTTATCTCCCAGCTGATAAACAAAATGTTTGAGAGCATACAAGCAAGCATCTTGTAACTCATTATTTGGATGAATGTCTATTACTTTTGATAAAGCTCCTTGTGAGATTAACATGTCGCATGTTTTCATACTTGATGCAGCCAAATTTCCCAAAGTCCATACACAAGTCACCTGGAATTTAATAAGCAATTTTAAGTATATTATCTACTATAAAATGCAATAATAGGAAATGCCTTGTATACAGCTTAGTTTTGCTGGATCTGAATTTCAGACCTTGTTCTGTCACGGTTCTTAAGACCCCCTTGATTAAAAAATTTATACAACTTAGGATGCAACATAAGACTATTTGCAAATGCTTATAATACAAAAAAAAGATGGTGCTGATTGAAGTGTATAAGTTATTTAAACTATATTAGGTTAGCCCTTACTTTTATGAATGGGGTTATTTTAATTATTATTTAATTCTTATCAGTATCAACCGGTTCCGATATTATTTAATGTGTGATACTTGTAATCATCTTACTGCTAGTTCTGTAGCCATATTATCAACAGCTGCCACTAAATATGTACCAGTAGCTCGACAGATGGTAAAACAAGCCTTGCTGTCCCTCGTTGATAAGTTACATTATAATACAAGAAAAAGATGGTGCTGATTGAAGTGTATAAGATAAGTTATTTAAACTATATTAGGTTAGCCCTTACTTTCATGAATGGGGTTATTTTAATTTTTATTTAATTCTTATCATTACCAACCAGTTCTGATATTATTTAATGTGTGATACTTGTAAACATCTTACTGCTAGTTCTGTAGCCATATTATCAACAGCTGCTACTAAATATGTACCAGTAGCTCGACAGATGGTAAAACAAGCCTTGCTGTCCCCCGTTGATAAGTTACATAGGCATCCCGCTGCAGCACATTGCTTTTTTATATCAGTTCCTGAAATTTTATATCTTTTACCTACTATATATCAAATAAATACTAATTATTACAACACAGTTTGTCCATTTGTTCTTTCAATATTAAGTTGACAATGTATAATCTTACGTACAATATTATGTTAATATTGCACGTAATATTATATTTACAAACCTGTTAATTCTCCTACAATGCCTCTTATTGCCCCATGTAGACCAAGCACTAATTCAATATTATGTGGTTCATTCATAAGAGCATTTTTAAGCTGATTTAATTCCTTTGATGTTATAGATGTCTTAGTTTTTAGCTTTTTAATAATATCTAAAACATCCTCGGTTGTATACCTACAGACATATCAATTATAAAATGCATTTCTAAAAGTCTCTGGTGGACCAGCAAACATCTTGACTCCTCTGGGTTAAATTATAAGATATAAGTATTATAGTATGATTTTATGTTTTTTTAAGTCGTGACGCTTTGTCGCAACGCAATGTAATTTGCAACTCGCCTTAGCCCTCAGGCACCAGGTGGCTTGTGCATGCTGTATAGGCGTATAATGTATATCTATATAAAACGAATATAAAAATAGTAAATATTCTCACCGACTTATAACCGATCTTCGAACATCATTGATTTCGTCCCTGTGTATTTGACGATTTAATTGAAGCATGTTACGATTATTAGTTCTTATGTTTACTATATTTTGCTCTTCCATAGTTAATATTTTTATATCTCGTGGAATATTAGAATAACTAATGCAGAATTACAATAGTTTACGACGACTTCATTATAATTAGCTAATAGTCTTTTTAATAAGAGTATTAAGTATTCAAAATATTTATCCAAATCCTGATCAAAGTCAAACATCAATTAAGTATCAACTGTCATTGTCAGGCGTCAGCTTTCAGAGTTCATTAATAATTTGTAAAAGTAAAACAGAGTAAGACAATAACCTTAACTCGGTTTTGAGTTAAAGTCAGCAAACTCCAGACGGCTGCCTGACGACCAATTCACTATGGGCCATTTATGAGGACTCATTGTCGCTTGCCTCCCTATTTGACCGCTGTGGGTCTTTGAAAATGCTGGGAGCGGCCTCACTGTCGCTTGCCTTCCTATTTGACCGCTGTGGGTCTTTGAAAATGCAGGGAGCGGACTTCCTGTCGCTTGCCTCCCTATTTGACCGCTGTGGGTCCTCCTTCTCCTTGCTCTGCTCTTTTCTATTGATGCGGATGATGGTTTCTTACTTGCTTGACGACCCAACAAACCAGCAGTGGGATATTTTTCCACGGCGCCGATCTTCAGGATGACGGAGAAAAACGAGAACGCGACCAACTGTACGCGAAAGACCCGCTATTCCCGGATAGCTCGAAGGACCAAAATGTACGGATCCTGGGTCGTCGAGGGTTCGAAATAATAGAATATTTTTAACTTTAGGAAATCGTCATGCTTATAAGTGATCAAACTGTACAGCCAGGGCACGTACATACATAGGAAATCGTTATGCTTGTAGATGATCGGAATGTACGAGCCTTGGCACGTACATAGGGAATAATCACGATTATAACACTAAAGAAGCCTGAGTGGGCAAAATGTACAGCCTTGGCTCGTACAGGGCCCTTCATCAAAACCTTATTATTTCTTTCTTGGTTCACTATATTATGTCATTATAATCATAACACAAAAAATTAAAAAAGCTAGCGTACCGCACATGAAACAGTAATGGTAGTAATATAATCAATTACTTAATCATATAGCTAAATGTATATTTGTATTAACAATATATGTAGTTGTTTAAAAAGATATAATTTAACCAAAGCATTCTGTGGGCCGGTGGATATAATCAGTTCTAATGCCTATAAAAACCTTTACCTTATTTTGTAAGATATTTTATTTTGACACCAAACATCATAATTAATTCATGGCAGTAGTAAAATTTTTATTCGTGTAGGCATGTAAATAAAGATAATTAGTTCGTATCAAAATTATACCAGTAAAGTATAAGCCCTTAAATTACGGCATCAGAATAAAATAAACCGATAGACGTGTAGTAGAACGAGTGAAAATGACAACAATCGACGGATCTAACTCACACAAAGTAACCAAAACGATCGTCACTTCTCCGGAAATTTATAAACCCGTTGGACCATACAGGTTGGCAGTACACATTATTCTACTAAAATGTAATAGATATTTTTAATGAAATATGCGACTAATTTAAGACGCCTTAAATTAGACATACAAACAGGCATACCTCATATACCTCAGTCGCTCATTTATTGTTAAAGGTATAAGAATACGTTTACCATAACTACAATAGTACCTACCCAAAAAGTTATTCTTACATCAGTTGTTAACTAATGGTATTAAATTTGCATTTATCCGTTCTTAAGGTAATAATTGTAATTACTTATAATGTAATGTAATGTTTACGCTATGGTCTATTTAACCCTAACTGCGATCCTGGGATGTGTTCTTGGGTCCCGGGCCCACCCCCGGCAACTAAATTGTGATGGCTTTGGTGTTAAAGTGCTTAGTCTTGGGTGTCTAAATATGCATTTATATGTTTAAGTATCATAAAAGATGGCTGCCCAAACACAAGCTTCACCAGCTAGCATGGGCTATGTCAATTGGTTAGTTAAATGAAAAAAAATACCTATACTAAATAGTGGCTTGTGTCTTTAAATTCTTTCTATTATCTGTTAGGGGCATAACGGTTAAGATAATAAAATATGGTCACAGCTGGTAGTTAAGTCTTGTTTTAAAATCAGTAGTACACTTTCTGTCTGTCTTTTTTTCTATAGTAAGTATGTAAAGTAAATAGTGATCTTCAACTATTCAATTAAAATATATTTTAGCCAAGCAATCCTATCTGGCAAAACTCTGTATATATCTGGAGTCCTCGGGTTGGATCAACAAGCTCAATTAGTCTGCGGCGGTGCTGAAGCTCAAGCTAAGCAGGCACTGGACAATATGAAACACGTTCTAGAAGCTGGAGGGTCGTCATTACCAGGCGTCATTAAGACCACTATTCTTTTGGCCAATTTAGACGACTTTCAAGTAGTTAATCAAATATATGCCCAATGTAAGCTTTTTAAAGTCACATTCGTTTGAATTTGCTTTGCATCTTACAAATAGGTACATCGTATAAAAGGCATTATTATTTCCTTGGTATGTACAATGTACATGTACCTTTCAGAAATACGCTGTTACTGATATCTCAAAAATTACAAACCATTTTTTATAAATTAACTCTATATTAGAATATACCTGCTTTAAATTAAATGGACAATGTTGACATGACTTTTAATTTCCAAGGAATTTGTGGACAAACATACATACACATTCGAAATTTAACACATATGCTTGGAATGCTTGGCCCTAAGTAGATCATACATTCCAAAAATATTACATACGTCTAGTTAAAACTGATAAACTCTTTTTTGAAGATGGACGGAGGCTCTACGCTAAACATTTAGGTGTAATTACCTAATGCTTACCTACCTACGAAAAAGAGTATACGGTTCCTCAAATTATACATAATTAACTCTGTTAACATTAATAAATATTATAATTGTACTTAATAATAGTTACGCATGTCTGTTCGGTATCGTACATAAGATTTTTCTCAAGTAGAAAGGTAACTCTTTGTGTAGTGCCTTCGTAATGGAAACATTAAATTTGTTTTCTCGGAAATCTAAACAATGTCTGCCTACACAAAACAAGTGCCGTGCAAGTCTCAACTATGGTAGCGGTATCGATAATGTCCCTTTTGTTGTAGATTTTCCTAAGGACCCCCCAGCGCGTGCCACGTATCAGGTGGCTAGGTTACCGCTCGGAGCAGCCGTTGAAATCGAAGCCATTGCCCTCAGCGGGGACCTAGTAATTGCTGAAGCAGGCCCGTGTCCCTGTGCTCGCCTATAATTTTAGACTTGCCTTGTTTTGATTTATGTATTCGATGTAATTGTTCAGCGATTTTATTTGTATTGTTCGTATTTAACCAAAAATATGCTTTACGAAATTCTTATTAAATATATTATTCAAAATGTTATATTTTTTTGCTTAGGATATAAGTAAATGGAATTCATAACTCCAATTAGGTTGCTATTTAAAATATAAAATGTGTCGCTCAGTGAGTGAGTAATAAATAGAAATGGTATATTGATGTATCTTTATTACAATCAAATCAAATAAGTTATCACCTTTTTTTGCCTTTCAATGATTGAGTTAAGTGGCTATTTATAGAGCGTTTACTACAGCTTTTACTATAGAGTTAAGTGCTAAGTTATTATAATAAGTGGGTTTCGTTTCAACAAAAGAATTAATGCACGAAGGTTGTATGAAAAACAAAATCTAAACAGTAATTGCGTCAGTGTGGAAGAATGCTTTACTTACACTCGTTTAATTTGAAAAACGCGAAGGGGGTTGCGAGTGTCGAGGTCAGCTGAGTGGGCTTTTTCCTCCCGTACGGCGTACCTAATGGGTATATATACGATACAATCTTGAGTGCGCAGTCGAGTTTAGTTCAAGTTGTTAACTCGCAGACTTGTGACGTACTAGTCAAAACTTACCCGCACGTACTCGTAAATTGAAAATGGCATAAAGCTGCACAAACCATGGGCTGCACAAGCAGCGCTCCAGTTATGGCAGACGCTCGGAGTGATGCAACAGGTACAAGAAAACAAAACTAAATAGAGCATTTTAGTTCAGATTACGCCAAATATTTAATCAAATATTTACGCTGTATTAAAGCAGTACAACATGTCATGACGGCTAAAAGACTTGCAATTATTCCTAAACGACAAATTTATGCCGGTTGACACTTTTTCAAATCGTAATCGTTGAAAATATCGTAGCTATAATCTGTTTTGTTTTACTCAATCTTTGTAATATTCTAATTGCTGGAATTTCGTAAATAACTGAAAAATGATTTATTGTTCTACTTATATAATACATATAGTAAAGCATAGGTATTTTGTACTAAACAGGTTGTGTTATTTTTACTTACACACAATGGAATGTAACAAGATATCGCTAATTTTAGGACCTGATGTCTCGTTAATAGTGATTACCAAATAAACTCTACTTACTCAAAGTTTAAGGTAGCTTTTCCAGCCCTGGAAGGACATCCTTGCCTAGGCCTTTTTGTCCAGTTTTCATTTCTCTCGGCGACTAGCGTTGATTTGCAATCTTGTATATTAATTGTTCATAGGCATAGTTTCACATTTGACAAAAAGTTTAAACTAATTTGGATGTTAGCCACTTGTAACACTTTCTTGCTCAAATTGTTTTTCGGCTAATAAATAAATTTAAAAAAAAAAAAAAAAAAACAAAGTTTTTTTTTTTTTTATAAAATTCGAATAATATAATAACCTAAGTTAATGTTTTGGACGCCTGCGTGATAATAAATAAATTAATTGGTATATCTATATCAATTAATTTATATATTATCATTTTAAATTAATCACATTAAAGTATATATATACCTAATATTTTTTTGAGTTGAAACTGAAGTAGGTAAAACTTTATCTTACTTTTGCTGTCGTCTTCCTTCGAGGAAATGTTAAGTGCCGCGACCGTGTTCGTCGGAAACAATGACTTACCACCCCTTACTATCTAGAAAACGAACATACCACTTTTTCTTATCGCAAACTTTTTACATGCATGTCCCTTTCTACTGTATCTAGGTAACGAAGGACAAAAATAATCTAAAACCTTTATTTGCTAGGCCGTATATATTTGGTAAACACACCTTTTTTATAATTAAATCTCTCTATGAAACATTAAATTTTTTTGGAAATCGCAATAATTTAAGCTGAAAAAACGAGTAAAGTTAAGGATACAATTGCATTGCTAGAAATTTAGAAACTATTAGGCTTTCACTCTATGTAATAGTCTGATATAGTTCTTATATCTATATATTATCTTAATTAAAAGTATTTTCTTTGTAACCTTGTATCTTATATAGGTTCTAAAATCTTGATAGCTCAACTAAAAACTGAATCAATATCTAATTATAGCATAGCATGAGACGTAAGGCATTTAGGTGTCTATATGTCAATCAAGGGAGTACACTTAATACTGCTAGCACAAATTACTGCTTTTAATAGATAGTATCTTCTGACCTTAGCTAATAAAATTTTACACTTTGAGTATAAAATTCTACATAATAGTTTTATAAGGTTTTACGGAACATTTATCGTAAAGAGAAGTAAAAAAGGAATTTAAAGACAAGTAAATAGTAGATAATATTGAGATAGATGCTACAATTTTTCACGGGGATTTAAAGAATTGGAATCCCAAAAAACGTGTTTAACGATTTAGCAGGGTTAGCAAACAATCAAAATAATTTTTCTTTTTAGATGGCGCCAAATCGGAGACAAATAATGAACACTATGCGGCAGAGGAAAAAGTCCAGAATACATTTGTTAATCACAAGAATCACTTGAGTTTGGACAGCCACTATTCTACTGAGATGCTTCCTAAAAGTGATAAAATAAATGAAAACGTACAATTACCTAGTTATAATTCTATATTTTTAAACAACGACTCGGATTGGCCAGCCAAAGGTTTGTTAGTATCTTGAACATCAGTATGCTTTGCAACTATTTATTTATATCAATTAATGCTTCTTGATGGGCTTTAAATTGCACTTTCGCGAGCTAATATACAATAAATCAGGGGCAAATAAAGCTTTTCACTCAAGCTAATCGGTTAGTTGAAAAGTTCATGTCTAAGTTCTCTTATACATATCCAATTAGGTAACCTTGTTTCTCTCAACGCCGTTTTTTTTTCGTGGAGAAATGCTACGCATACCCTCCGCGGCACGGCTGCCTCGGGGTAAAGGGTTATGTGGGACTCGCTGCTGTGTATACGTAAAACCCCATGGCGCCACCAGTGATCTCCAGAGGCATCACACGGTAACAGCGTAATAGCCTTGTCCGCATCCCGCCACGCGATTAGTCGAAATTACGGAAATATGGAATGGACCTTAGCACAGAAAGGGCCATTCACATCGGCTAATTCGCCCTGAATTGTAAAGCTAGAGGGGAGGTCGGGTCCAATTCTGACGCATCCCTTCTTTTGGACGCATGAACCCCAGTTCCCCCGCTGAAGCGTACGCGTTCCCAGGATTACTATAGGCGTTGCACAGTGCAACGGCGACGCGGATGGGCTGCAGGATCGACCTCTCTGGCCTGTCCGCATCTTCATTATGGCGCATGACGGCCTCGGAAGATTTCCGACGTGCCGTCACTGTCCATGTTTATAATTGCTACTCTCACAATGTTATCGAGATTAGATCCTCGACACGTAGGGGATGCGAGCCCTAGTGTAGGGGCGACGGGCGGTAACGTAGCTCGACGAGCTCCACCGACCACCAGAATACACTTTGTCGGCGACGTCCAGGGCGGCTTCTCTGCATCGTGGCGTCGGATCGGGTCGCCCCGGGCCCGCCACGTAACCACATTGCCTCGTCCTCGGTATTTATAAGTTCTGGATTGGGGCACCAAGCCTGAACAGTTATGACTAGTTCCGCTTGCATCTTATCTAAGCTTCTAAGGGCCCACGTTGGGCACAGTTTTAACGAACTCTGACTGATTTCCGGATACGATGACGGGGAGAAAGTACGAAACCAAATATAACGGTGATCGGATAGGGTTTCAACGACTTGCCAGCCCTGGACCCAGCGGTACAGGTGTTGGCGAACCGTCCCCCCGGTGTAACGACGATTGCGGCCAAGCCATCGAGGTCACCCACCCAGTTTGCTCTATCCGGTATTACGTAGGGCTCGGATATTATGCTGACATTAATGTCCCCCTATGCCAGACTCTGGTGTAGTAGGTCTTGCTCTGCGGCGCAGTGGTATGTCTATATTACTCTGTAGTAACTGTAGGGTCATTGGCTACAATTTCGATAACCTCCATAAGCGCATTATTGCGCGGATACTTTGTGTGCTTCTTCTTTTAAAGTGATGAGTCAGATTGGTCAGATTTCCTGCCCACCTCCGCGAGCGAGCACTTTGGTTTTGCCGTACAGGCTGCTGCCCTATGATCGGGCTGACCGCAGCGAAAGCACAGTCTGCAACGATCGGTTTCCGACATGCAGCGGCTGGCTAATACCTGCAGCTCTCTTGGTTTGGCGACACTTATGCTCGCCGCTACCCAGCCGATGAGAAAACGCCCTTTTATTAGTAGTTTCTCTCAATGCCAGAACAACATAGTTTCATAGAAAATAAACACTATGCCATGACATTAAACATATTGTAAACAAGTCCTTGTACAACTAAGCCACAAAGGCAAATTAGCTAAAACTAAGTAGGTACTTTAGTTAACACGATCGGTATAGCAACGAAATAACTTAGTACGAAATAAACAAACGTGACATTGCAAACACCTCACTTTGTATAAATGTATATTTAAATGAAAAGGAAACAAAAGCGAGGGCGCAATTTGCTATTTAAAGCGAGTTGGTATTTAGATATGCAAAAACTAAGCATAAACCAGCCTTATTATGCTACTAATATATGTACCTGCTACTTGTAAGTAGGTGCGTGTTTTAAATTAATTTTATAGTAACCTTCAAATACTTTTTAAACATTAATAACGTATTATATTTATGAACAGAACATTCACTTATCACATACAGTTATTTTATTTAAGTATCTAGTAATATATAGTTTCCATGTACAACTTAGGAATTCGTGTAATAAATTTAATCTTAACACATCTACTTTAAAAGAATTTAAATATGCGAACGTATGTAATCGTTTTATTAATTTCCGATTCAGTTTTTTTTATATTTGTAAAAATCCTCCGCAGCCACAATTCTCCGTAGACGTTGCCTAAAGTTTTTTTTTAATGAACGCAGCCCAACAGAAAATCCGAATAATAACAGTACAACACATAGAGGATTATTCGAATTAATAAATGCATTTCTCGCGTGATTTAAAACAACCGAAGTGGTTGTTTTATGCTTAACCTAAGATAGTGCAAGTTCGGTGCTGCAATTTAAAATTACCTTAAAGTGAAAACACATTAGTGTAAAAACAATAAAGTTATGTATAATTAAGAAATAAAATGCCATTATTATTGCTAGTAACTGAAGCGTTTTCATTGGTTCGCCCGATTCTTCTATCAGAAATACTGGCTAGTGTCGTATTTTAAATGATTATAAACGTGTACTTGTAAAGATTTCTAATGTTTTCTTTCTAAGATCATATCACATTTAATTCAATAAAGGTCTTGATCTTTAAATTTTGATAAATCATTAGATGGTGAGACTTTGACACATACGAAACAATAAAAGAAATTAATACAAATAATAAATAAAACGATAGCGGTTATCGTTATATCGCTTCTTAAGGGTTTTAAAAGCTTTTGTAGAATGCTAATTAATTCATCAATTTAAAAAAATATGATCTATTCCAAAGTTTTCTGGATATGGTTATATACACCCACATAGCACTGTTTATTTTAAAATTCTGAAATTTATTCCCAACTTACCTAATGTACTTCATTGTTGCCCTCTATGGAATTATTCTGATTATGATTTGGTTATCTTTTAAAAACTTCTTTCAAATCTATTTTAAGCGTTCGTTTTGAAACATCTTCTTGGATTTGCTCCTTATTCGCTTTGACGGATTGAGAGTACGCAAGATACCCAGTGTAACTCTTCCAGCGTTTCTCTCATCTATTCACAATCCTAGAAATTTGGTAGGTAAAATCCTTATATACTAGAAACTACGAGATTATGCTAGCATCCGGCCTAGGCTTGAAATTGCCTTCTAATGTTAATTTTCGAAGGAGCTGGGGTGATCGTCTTTGTAATTCTGGATTTAAAACTTATTAGGTCACATCTAAATTACAGAGAAGGCTGGTGGGGCAGCGGGGTATTAGGAAGCCGGTCGTTGACTTAATGCTTATCCTTCGCCAAACACCCTTTCTGACACTGAAACACTTGGAATTGCCTTCACTTATGAGTGCCCATATGTACTCCCTATATGGGCTCCATTGCCAAAAGAGTCCTGGTCGTTTTTCTCGCCACACCGGTGGGGTACAAATGCACAGGCACTAATTAAAGATTTAAGGTGGCGCCTGGTAGATAGTACCAGTGATCCAAAGCTTGGTGGTTTCCTCTCTCAATGAGTAAGTACCAACCGCAAATCGCAATACAGCGATAAAATGCTGCTAGCATTAAAGGTACACTGTCAAACTTACCAAATTTTCTATTTATTAATTTTAAATTATTATTATTATTGTGTAGCTTAAGAATATTGTAAATACTTTCCGAAATTATTCACGTTTTCTACTCGAATTTTATAGAAACGCTAACTCACCATAATACCGCGATTAGGCGGGCGGTCAATCACCTGCACCTGAACTTGTCCTCTCAATAAAAATAATATTGCTTTCGCTACCTAAACGTTTCGAAAACGCAATTGTATAATTAGTTAATGTATATAGTAATAACGTATTTTATGAACCTTGATGGTTGATGTAGTCGAAACTTCCGGTTTTTGAGGTTCGTGTTTTTAATAAAATTTACTTACATCTAAATAGAAAATTTATTTGATTGTCATTGATTTTGTTGTGGTGTTAAGTCCTAGAGCAAGTGCTATTGAAAATTTTGCCTACTAATTTGATATTTCCTAACAGTATTTTTTTACTCGGAAATCAACTCTTGCTCACTCATGAGAGCTTTATAAAAATTGAATAAGTTTAGTTTCAAGAAAGGCGAGTTAAGCAAACATGGTCGTAGTTATCAATAACTAATTTGAGTTTTACTTTTGTCAGAAACTTAAATTCTAAAGTTTCACATATAATTTTATAGTTACATTAATACTTCTACGCCTTCGTAGAATCACATCAGGATTTCACGACATGAAATGGGTGAATAAAACACCTACGTATAAAACCGTTTCCTAATATGTTAGCCACATCATGCAGTGTTAAATTCGACAAATTTCCTAAAAGCAATGTATAAAAAATATTTCTATGTATTTTAAAAGTTTCAGGTATAGACAATTGTTTAAACAGTGATAGCCAGAAAAACATCGTTCAAACAGAGAAAAAATTAAAAACATTTATCGAAGTAGTAGATCAAGTTTTAGTGAATAATGTAGTAGAAGATGAAAAATTAGAAGAAACAGATGCTGCAAGGAATGAACCAGAACCTGAGAGTGTTTCAATAAAAGACGAAATTATACCAGCAGACAATAAAACTCCTGAAATAGTTAATGAAAATTTAGAAGAAAAGTAAGTTATTAGCTAAAGTAATTTGTTGACAATTATTATCTTAATTAAAGAAGCAATCTAATGTAACTTTTAAAGGTAGAACCTTTATAAGTTATTTTTTATATAAATGAGGATACCTAATAGCCTAACATTATTAGAGTCTAGCAGTTTTTTATATTATTAAAACTTTTGTTACCATACAGATAAAATAACTTACGTTCTTATAGTAAATGTACAGTTTTCATACGTAGTGTCTACAGTTAGTTTATTTCACAGAGAACGATTTATTTATTTTATGTTTTAGGGACGAGGTAAACAACATTTTAGAACATGAAAGTCCAACACAGTCAGAAAGCCGGTCCACTCGTTGGGAGGCTTTAGCGGATATAGCTGCAGAACTCCCACCTTCTCTCGCCGTGGACCCTGTCACTGGGCAAATATACTCCCTTACCAAATAACATATCTCTTAAATAAAGTTTCGTCGGTACAGTTATTGACAACTTTTTTCTCAACTTCATACCTATTTTCTTACCAATATAATTTTAGTTTTAATTTATTGGGCCTAAAACCTAAACCCAAAAAATACTTGATTTGAAATACAGTTTTAAAAAAGATTCTATTTAATAAGGTTTAAAATGTTTTAAGTAATCAGTCTTGGCACATACATTACAATAATTATGTGTCTAATTGTTGTAGTATGGGTAATTCATTATTACTTCAGTTTCATACACATAAGAAAAAACTAGTCATTAATTTTTAAACATTGCTATTTGTGATGACTGAATTTCATTGTCTTTTACTTACAACTATTTAAGGATAGTAATAATTTTAAAGGCCAAGTAATTTACTTTATTTAGTTTTCACTCTTATCATAGCAACTCCATTTTCAGCAGTATTACCACTAAAAATAACAACAAATAGAGCAGATTCCTTCAGACTGCTCCAAATATTTTTCACCCATTCATCAATATTTGTCGCATGACAAGACTCTAGAGTTGAATTTTGTTTCAAATGAGCCATAATTAAATTGTAATCGTTAGCAGCTTCAGTAACAGTAGTGATAACATCATCTACTGTATCAACCGTACTAAGTTTTACTTTTTTAGGTTTACCCTTTTTTAACTGTGTACTCATACTGTCTTTTGCTTGTGTTAAGTATGTATGATAGTCCCCCGTGATATCATCACAGCCCACTACCAGGGATGTCTTTTTCTGCTCAATAATATGATTAAAAATTGACAATGCATAATCAGATTTTGTAGACATTCTTACTACATTTTCTTTATAGTTCTGTCTATTAGTATGTACGGCATCTCCAAATTCAATAAATTTGCTTAATTTCAATTGAACTAATTTAAGAGCTGCTATTGAATCCTCTATTGAACAATGGCCATTCTTATTTGTTTGTATATCCATATTCAAAAATTCCTTAGCTAATATCTTTAATTTGGATTTCCGCGTTCTTTCACCAGTAAAATTATATATTAAACTAGTATCAATTACATAAGGATGAAACATTTTTAAAGCATGTAAGTCAGAGTTAAGTGATTGACCGACCAATATAGCGTCAGGTGGTAATACTTCACGTAACTCTTTTTGGACATCTTCTAATCTTTTGGTAATATTTTTTAAAGAAGATTCTGAAATACCAGAATATCTAGTTAAATAATCTGTAATGTTATTATAGGGTTTAACCAGTGACTCATACACCAATTTGTATTTCTCGTCTACAACTGAGACACGAGTCAGTTCTGATCCAACATTTGTAATGCACATTTCACAATCCAGCCCAAACATAGGAGAATCAGCTGTGACGGCTTTATACTCTTCTTTAGAGAAAACATAATCAGAGTATATATTTTTCAACTTGCCTTTCAAAGGGACTGGGTAATTTTCCTCAATCAATTGCCAAGCAGATAACAGAAGTTGAGTTCTAGGGAACTTATCTTCACATTCTATCTGCACTATCTTGTCTTCATTGTCTTCATCAATGGGAAATACAGCTCTCATCATAACCATAAGATCTTTCCGTACTTCTAAAGCTAAATTCAAGCTTCCATATTTCTGTATAATGCACTCTTTCTCTGTTTCTGAAAGGGGCACTAAAGCTAATTCTTTAACAAGGGAACCACTGTATACTGATGGTGTTAAGATTTCAACAAAATTCTCAAAGATTGTGTTTATATTAATTAATTTTTCTTTATGTTCTTCTAATTGATTTATTGAAATACCCTCAATTATAAGACATGTTGTTTGGCAAACATGATTGCATTTATCTATAGTATACCACCTTGGTGATTGAGTTATGTTTAAATTTCCCAACAAGGAATGTAGAAGCAAGTGCTGAATGTCTGTTAAAACTATAGGAATTCTTTCATTTAATGGTGTAGCAAGTGACGCTATATGGCCAGCTGATTTTAATCGAAATTTAGGAGTGTGTTTCTTAGGAGGTTTTGCATAAGTTTTTTCTTCAACTGAATCTTCTTCCTTATTTTTTCTTTTAATATCTGAAAACACATTGTAAATATTTCATGATGAAAACAATTGTTTTATGTAAATTAACTATTAAAAATAATATATATATTGCTTACATTTACTTTGAACTTCTCTACGTGCCTTTTTCTTGCAGGGCTCGTAGGAGAGATTCATCATAATATTTTCAATTTGAGGTTAGTTTTACAAAAAATACTTCTTATAATGGTAATTATAGTTTCTAATACATAATAGAATATGGATTTTTCTGAAGTTAGTTGTAAACTAAATACATTTATTGGGAAAGTTACAAAAATAATCAAATTCCAACTTCTTAATAAACATCGCAACTCAGTAATCTTCTCTAATCTAGGTTTCTAGAACCACAGATGAAGTAATGGTGTAGTTCCTAGTTTACCATTATTAGTGTTCTGTGTTACTAATATTAGTCTATAGCGCTATAGGTACAAACTACCACAGGGCACAGACACATTGTTTTGTACAAAGTTAAATTTATAGTATAAATTATAAAATAGAATACTATAATAACCTTTACTCTAATTTTCATCTGTTAGTTCAGACCACAGTTTCGTTACTCCTTAGACGATAGATAATCTGCGCTTTATCTTGTGAATGTGCCTATTGAATAATAAACATTTCTTGATTTCGTTATTTCTGACGGTGACTCCTATTTACCATTAATTCTACGGCTGTAAATATGGATTCATTACGTGAACAAGTAATGATAAATCAATTTGTGTTAGCTGCTGGTTGTGCTCGAGAACAAGCTAAACAATTACTGCAGGCAGCTCATTGGCAGTTTGAGGTAAATGCTAAATATTCCTAAAAACATGTAAACAAACATTAAAATCATGAAATGGCTGCTACTGTGTTTATATTTTTGAAGAAAATCAGTTGGTAACCTATCATAAATGTTTTGTTTTGGTTAAGCGATTGCGTTTGCAACTTTTAACACCGTGACCAAAGACTTCTTAAGGTATTGAGATTGGTTAAATGATCAATTAACTACCGTAGATTATAGTGTACACACATTGATAACGACAAAATAGACCTATTGACAATGTTAAAAGTAGTATTTAAAATATTGAAGAGTTCTTTATAGATTTTGTAGCCATTTTCTTGTTGTTGTTCAATTTTATATTTATGTTATTGGTTATCTTAGATTGGTTTAAGGTTAAAATTGCAATTTTAGTCCAAATAATGCAAGTTTATAGTAAATATTTGTTTGACCAACATTATTAAACTAAATTTTAAGATATCTTATAAAGAATAAAATAATATATTTTATTTTTGGATATTTACTGCACACATTTTACTCATGCTTATTTTTTTATTGTAAGCAGATGTATAGTGTTTTTGCATTACTTACTTATTTAAGTTGGTTCTGGTGTAAATAATAAAATCAGCAGGCAAAGATAATTGTTTAATTGACATTAAAGCTTGTATTTTGAAATTTCAGACCGCACTTTCAATATTCTTCCAAGAAGTTGCTATACCGTCAGCAAATGGTATTGCAACACAGCATTATCCGCAGGTGAGCTTCAAGAACAGACTTTAAAATTATGTAATCAACCTACTTATCTTAACCAATATTGTAAATAAAATTATTATGTACATAGCTATAACTAATAATAAACCTATTTGTTAGTAATTCTGTATTTTATTGGGTAACAAGTGCAAGCCGTCATAATATTGAAGATTCAAGATAATTCCAATGCTATTTATTCTAACATTTATTTAAACACATTTTTAAACTAGTACTTAGGTTTCTCTGTTTACTTAGTTATGGTTAAAAATTCGATATTATTTCAGCAGTTGATGACTCCATGCAACACACCGGCAACTCCGCCAAATTTCCCAGATGCTTTAGCAGCCTTTTCACGGCTATCAACTACAGGAAGCCCTAGCAACACAGGTGGCGGCGGCGTCAGCGGCCTGGCGCCGCCTGTCTCGCCGCTCGCCACGCACCCTCCAGCACAACCTAACACATTCTCCACTGCAAATCAGCAGACTAATAATTATACACCGCTTTCTTGCTCAACTGCGGTAAGCCTTTGACAGGACCTTTTTATAGTTAATTGAGAATCAACTTAGTTACCTAATTCACTGTAATTTTTCCTTAGAGGCAAAACAAGTGGATAATTTATGGATCTTTCCAATAAAAATTATATTATGTAGAGACAAATTAATTTCTTATCTGATGTGTTAGATGTTTCAATTTTATAATAATTATTATATACATTTTTTTTTAAATAATTATTTTATATTTTTTTTCCAGGTGTGCAGAGAACACATGCCAAGATAAATTGTAAATGTAGATTAGGACCATCTGTAATTTATTTTTCTAATGGTGCGCGATTTGAGCTGTGGACTTTTGAACATTATTTCTGACACCCATAATACAGATTGGGATGTCATAGTCAATCATGTTGTAAACATAAATATTGTCACTGTTCATTACTATATTAAATAGTGGTTTCTGAAACAAATTGCACTATATAACTTGTGTTACAATTTTCATACATTAGAAATCTATAACTGTGATTATTACTATCAGATTAGTAGAACTTATTGATGTATTATTAAAAGAAAATTGTTATTTTTCGTTATATAGTCATTCTTTTCTATACATAATATGTATAATGTTAGTTAAATTGAATCTAAGTTCTGTATTATATTCAGTATACATGTATTATACACAGCTTCATAAAAGACAATATTATGAATGTAATTAAAGTGATTAATTAAGACAAAGTGTTTTTATGCATTAAGCATCAAGAAAAAAATTACACAAAAATATAATTTTAATTTTTGTTAGTAAACAAGTTATAAAAAATTCTGCAATAAGCAGCTTACGGGCCTTATTACCGTCTTATCATTCATACGTTAGATTTAGGTTTGAGTTTCCACGTACTATGTGACGTTCATCTTCACTTCTGGATGTATCTCCTAGTTGATTATCAGGGTTTAATTCTTGATTTCCCATATCTTGTGGGAATTTGTTGCCATTTCCAACCAATAATTCACCACTCGCACTTGGACTAAAAACTGTTGACTGTTTGCTCTTTTTGAAAATAAGCTGAAAACGGTGCAATTAACGATATATGTATATTTGTAAAAACTTGCACTTCTTTGAACTATACCCGTACCAAAACCGTTGTTAAAAAATCATCAAAACATATCAGTCATTGAGCACGCTACATGTACATAAGATTAGATAACATCATAACTTTGTAATTTAATATACGAAAATTAACCTTCATCATGTCTAGTACGGATTTGTTTACAAGGAAAAAATTACCTTGTACAGCTGGGGTCTTTCATAGATCCATATAAATATTACTGAGGCAACAATAATTGACAAACAAAATATTAAATATTTAGACGAGTAACTATAAGCCTCTACTAATATATTGCACCAATTTCTTCGTTGCATGATTCAAATCTATAGAAATTTTTCCTACGTTTATTAATATTCATTGTTGCAATACAAAAAAAAGAATCGTTGCAGATATAAAATATACAACGCATTTTATGCATGGCGCTAAGCGCTTTTAAAAAAACAATAGAGGAGGTAGGTATGTACCTATAATGTTTGGCAATTACGTCAAATATTTCAAATTTCAGCAGAATAACAGCCAGAATGTACCTTCGATGTATATGTTCAACAAGATAATTATCTAACACGTAAGTTACTACTATACTATGTCTATAAATAGGTATCTATGCCTTTATTACTACGAATGATTTTAGGTTGAAGCTTATAATTATTGTGCACACGTACGTAGATACAAGTTTATTCTGTTTCTAAAATCCGTTTGCTAGTCTGACAAAAGAATCTGAATAATATACTCTAGTCTTAACGATTACTTTGATTCAACACGACCTCTACGTGCTTGATTACAATTTTATCAATAGCAGGTTATAATTTTTGTCCTTCCTCAAGTTTGAACCAGAAACCTCATGGTCTGCAGTCGTTCACCATTACACTAGTTAAATTGGTAATGTATTACAATATCTCTCTTCTCAATCGTGTTCTTCATGGCTCAGGGCGGGTCACCATAACGTACCTGCTGCCCTGCTAGTGATATCTCCACTTTGTTCGGTCTATTATCTATAGCTTACCTTAGCGCAGCTGTTATTGGGAACTAGCGGGTTGGCGACCTACCCCGCGGCCTTTTGCCTTCCAAGTTCCACCTTGCCGACGACAACCAGTCTGTCCAGGTTATATCTGGTTCGCGACGGGCGATATGGCCAAAGTATATTTAAGATCTCTTCTATAGTAATATGTTGTTATGGGTCTCCTAAAAACTTTGAGTTAATCCAAGATTGATAGATCCATGATCCTTCGCATCCATCCAGGTCCATGGTATGCGAAGCATCTTTCGCTCGCGCTCGATGGCCATGAGTCCGATCCTTAGCAACAATGTATGAACTATGAAGTAAAAACCAACGTTCGTAATGTCATCATTATAGTATTAGAGTGTCTTATCTTGCCAGATGCGCGTTACTGCATTTTTGGCTCTTGATTTCTCGTTCACTTCTACCATGTTCAGACAGTAGTGATCCAAGATAGACATATTCCTTGACAAATTACAGATCAGATAGTTCTCCAGTCCTAAAGAGAGATTGTAAGGCCATTAATACTGTAAAGCATTATTTTACTAGCACGGGATATGAGCGCTACTGTACGATAGTTCTTGCACTTATTTGTAGATCTTTTGTTTATTGGATTCAGTAGCGACTCAAGCATAACTTTGATGCCTTGATCTCCTACATGCTTCAGCTATTCAGCAGACAATTTGTTAGTTTTAAGCTTTCTTATTGCATTTCTAATCAGAACATCAATATACTTAATGTAAGATTAAAGTATTTTCTTACATAGGAAATATCTTCGAAACTGAAGTTTGAAATTTGGGAATTGGGATAATGTTGATTGGAATTTAAAAGTAAACCAGCATCTATTTATGAAATTCTGTATTAAAGATATTTTACAATGAAAGTTTGAACAGTTTTAATAATTAATATTTCATATACTATAGATGGGGAAAGGGCAAATTATGAAAAATATAGTTTCTATTAACAAATTTTATGTTTAAAATTGCTTTACTATTATCACATTAAACTTTTTAACACAAACTTATCTTTAAAAAAACACAATCGTGTTTTATACAAAATTATAACTTAAATATACATCATTTCTGCCATAGATGACATCTTCTTAGGTATATGAACTAGAGTTTCAAAATAACTTGCAAGTTCATCAATAGTTACATCACATGGAGGATTCAGTGCCTGCTGAGAACAAGATGTAGACGAGTTAGTCTCTAATACTGTTTCTCGGCTTTGTTTCTTATATGAAGTATGATTAGTTTGCCAACCCTTAATTTTATTTATATCTGAACTTTTTCTGCTACCCTTACATTTTTCTGTTGAAATATGAAGCTGATTGCATGTATCAACTAGTGCATGCAAACATATATTGCCACTGGAACTTGATAGTGGACATTTGGAAACATTGTTATGTAAAAATGACTTTTGGAGTTCATTTCTGTGTGTTGGATGACATTGTGACAACTTTAATACTGGTTCTCTGAGTATTTTGCAGTGCTTTCTTTTGCCTATTGCATACTGCTTTTTCACTGTGTGGCAAATGCATTTGTTTTGGTGAGTAGATTTGGCTGGAGAATTCCTTTTTTGGAATTGAGTTACAAATGGGTTATCATCTTTTATAATTTTGTTTACTTTTGATGATTCTATTTCTAGCCGCCCAACTCTTAGTGATATGTCATCTGTAGCCATTTCTATTCTGTAATAGTCAAAGTATGTGAAATTAAATTAATAGTCAACAACTAAGTGCATCGCCTATTCATGATAGACCAAGGCTCAATATTGTATTGGGATAGGCTGCCGTTTAAATTGCTAAAATAAATATTTACTGCATATATACTTTCAATCTTAACTTTAGCCCTCATTTATAAAGGTGCTTTTTTATTTCTTTTGTTGGAGAAAGTTTGGAAATAACAATTTTAAATGTTTTGGTCACAACCCATAACAACACTAACACAACTGTCAACTGTGACAAACAAAATAAAATTTACGTCTAAAATTCGTTTACCAATATTTATATTATATTATTCTTGAAGAAAGATTGTCTTTGGAATTTACATATACATGATACATTAAAATATGAGCAAGGACTCGCTACTGCTTTAAAAATTAGTATTGAGTTTTAAAGCACATAGTAAAGATTAATGACACTGCTAAAAATAACATCGTAATTTCCTAAATCAGTTTCAGTGACGTCATGAATCCACAGACTGCATATTAATTAGAGTCACTTGTTTCATAGAATAATATTAAGGATGCTCCACAGACCCGGAGGTTGCCGAGAGGCAAAACTTTTGTACCATACAAGCATTGACGAGAGCACAAGGGTAACAGTTTTAAATGTCGTCGCACGAATTTGATGATATGACTGTGTGCGTTTTCCAATTACAGCACTAGAGCGCATTATGCGGCATAATGCTCAACGTTGAATGTTCCAACTACAGCAACGCTTCGCACAATTGAGCACTCTCAAAAGTAATGCTCTCGCGTGTTTCTCGCAATCATACCAACACAGTGACAAAAAATTGACCAGTGTTTTTCTTTAAGTTGGCATTGATCGAAATTTTCGTTAGTAAATATTATTTGTTGTTGAAAAATTTGTAAGGCTTTCGTTTCGTTGTAGATTTTGAAAATAATTAAAGTTATTTCAAACGGTTAAAAAAAATTAATATAAGTATGGATGAAGGTATAAATAGTTACTTTTTTTATATTCCACATTTTAAATATGAATACAATTTCATTTTAAAATTCGGATCTGTAAACAAATTTATTTTACAGGATTATACTTTTGTAAACATTACAATGGTTTTGAAAAAGTATAGTTTTAGAAATCATTTAAAAAAATTACTCAAAACGTAAATGATGTAAACTTCTTACATGAAACTAAATATTTTACTGTTATTTTAGCTTGTTAAAACCTTATATTCTTTAAAGGTTTTCTCTTATTTCAGTAAAAAATGTTAATGAAATAATTTGATTATTAAAATAAGCGTTAATAGTTTTCAACCAATTATTATTGTTTACCACATTATTTTTACATTAATGAGGTTGCTAACTCATTCAGAACATTTTTTTTTAACACTGATTTAGCGCACTCTGCTGATGCATTTGAAAACTAATTCACGTTCCAATTAAGCTTCAGCATAATGCGGCATTGTGCGGCACTGAGTCGCATTATGCTCTGTAATTGGAAAACGCACACTAATGCAGGAGTCTCGGGGGATCTTCATTGGAACACCTCCAAGTGATATTTGCTGCCGGAAATGCGTCTAAGTATTTTTTTTTTTTAAAGTTTACAAAAATCAATAAATCTGAAAATGATCGCGAGAAATCAGTGTCTAGTATTAATGTAAAGCCTGTTTCAAAAAAATGCAAATAAAATAACGCTCATTCTCGTGAAAATAAAAAAAAAAGGGTCCGTGTTCTTATGTACGCGCGTAAGAAGTTATACTTCTTTGGCAATATTAAAAATAGTTTGGCTTTGTTCCACCTCCAGTTTTTGATGTTTCACAGCGATAAGATGAAAACTCTTTTTTTGTATTCAATTTAGTGCAGTTACACTGATTCATCAATTGTTTTTTGTCTCTTTTCCTTATATTTGCTAGATAAAATCAGAAAAATTACATGTTTTGATTAAACAATGTGGTTAATTTTTTAATCAAAACATTACTCGATAATAATAATAATACATACGGATAGTTAACCTCAATTGTATTAAAGCACTTAGGAAGGTTGATGAGCACAGTTTTTTCACAAATATTAATTAGTATTGGTTTAAATATTCAATTTAAATCACTTCTGATTATAATTAAAAAAGCATCGCTAAATTTCTTTGAAAAAATAATTAAAACTCCTTTATTTGTTTAAAAGGTAAATGACAAATGTCATTATGGTCATTCAAAATTGTTGGCATACGAACTTCACGCATATTCTATTTCTTTTTACTTGTAGATTGTCTTATTCCTATCTCGCTCGCGCACGCTATAATCACACTCCTAATTTTGTGTCACGGGTGCGCGCGCATTGTAAAATTCACTCTCATAAATTTTTCATAACGCGCCTAAAGAAGTATAACTTCAAAAACGAAAAAGTAACGGATTTCTAACGGAAATTTTGCACTGTAAGACTGTTCACACACTGTTCTAGCAAAATCCACATTCGAAATGGCCGTTCGCGTTTATAAAATTAATAAGAATGTGAAAATAATCGATTTCTTTAAAAGTAAAAATCTATTTTTGTATTCGATTTTAATATTAAAAATAATTGTAAATCAATCATAGTTGATCAGTTTCAGTTGAACAGTTATTTAAAAAAAACATTAATATACTAACCTAACCTAACCGAACAATAATAATACATTTTTGGACAGCTAGTTATACAGTCACAAGACATATTTCCTAATCTATAAACGGAAACACCCACGCGTGTTCTCACGAAATATGCTGACGGACTGTCTAGCTCCCAGTCTCGATTATTAGATATTAAGTTAGTCTTAAGCTAATCACCAATGTAACCGGTCGAATAAATATTAATTAAAATAAAATTATTCTTTTTTAAAAACGCTCCAGCGCGACCTCGCGTTTTGACTGGCGCAGCCGGTAGGATTTTCACATCCAGCGAGTATATAACTTAATTGAAAATACTCAAATAGATTTTCATGAAATACCATGGACTGTCTAATAGCAGAGTGAAAATCCGCGAATCAAATAAATAAGTAAAATAGAAGAGCATTAAAATAATATCCGGTGCAGTGTGTGATTAGTGACTCAGGAAGAATGGAATTGGGCTGGCGGTGAGTAAACCTTTTCACTTCCCGCTAAAAATTCCATTTTATTCCACATATTATATATTATTACATTATCTGATTTTGTTTCGTACCAAATCTACGAATAAAATTGTACTCAGAGTGTAATTAGATTAGGAACTGTAGTTTTAAAATTATATTGCACAAGAATAGGCAATATAATATAGATTAAATATATAAATAAAAATTATATTGCACAAGAATAGGCAATATAATATAGATTAAATATAGAGA